ATAGAAGGTGAGCATGAATCTGTTCTCAGAATGCGGTTTTCTGTTTGAACGCTCGTAGCCACCGTTCTGTCCCATGCATTGATATAATCCTCCGTTCCTGTCCAAGTCCAGCCATGTTGGGGCATTCTGCTTGAGACTGCGCTCCAGTATGCTTTAGTTGACGAGGCATCCCACCTTCTGCGTTATGTCCCTTCTCAGCTGTTTCACCACGAGTTCCGATGGAACGACTCCCCTATTATGCCACCCGCACACTCAAGGTTCTCCTCGATCTCTATTCTCGGTGGCTTCGGGCTGGCTGTTCCAGTGATTTTTCATCACTGTCGCGGCGGAGGCGTTGGCTGGGACCAGATTCGGAAGCTTTGGAGTTGTAAAGCTCTCGTTCGGTTTACACGTGATCTGGCGCACCAGGATTTCCCGACCTTGATGGAATTAATAGGCCAGATTCTGGAGTTATTATCTCCGACTGACTCGACCTCATGGAGCTCCCAGAATTGCATCCTGGCGGATCAACTGGAGCCCTGGCTAAATTTCTGTTCCTTTCCGCCTGACGATTCCGAGGGTTTGGATTCTGTGCTCGAATTGATTCGCCGTTGTCATCGTTCGGCACTTTCTCGGAAATCTGGTCCGTTAGTTTCCACCCTGACGTCTTGGGCGACTCGTATGTTATCGGACTCGATGTCTGACGCAATCATTGTCGCCTTCTTGAACGATGTTCGACCCGTCGTCACGACATTCAACGAACTCGTGGCCTCGAGTGTCTCGATGCGCGATCCCATGGCCTGGCTCGAAGCTGTCGCTGCTGTCCTGACCGCCGCAAAGCTTTGGTCTCTCGAAGCCTCCTTGTGGGCATGCGCTGTGCGCTATGTTGAGACCATCGCCGAAACCACGCAGGCTGCGACACACGGTCTCGACTGCGAAAAGCTTATGACCCTTGTCGATGATGCTGAGCGACGATATGCTCGGGAGACTACACGTCGAGGCGCGGAACGAAGATGGGAGGAGGATTTATCGCTTTGGACGCTGACTCCGTTGCGCGAGGCCCCCGCCAAAAGATTCAAGCGGAGCCTCCAGGCGGAATCGACATCACCCGTTTTTGAGCGCAAGTTCCGCTCTCTGCTTTCTGGGGCCTTGTCGCATCGAGCCCGGCTCAATTGTAAAAAACCAGCTATCGTCACCACCCGGGCTCCCACCGCCAAACGTTCGTTAACACCAGACACATCATGCATACTTCCTACCTCGGACGATGCGTTGAACCTCTTTGCCTGCTCAGAATCACACAGGATCGGATAAGTTGTACGTAATGCCTTGATTGTAAGTTTACTTGGCTGCGTAATCACATGCGTTGCTTCTTCCTTCTCGCACTATGTCCTCCTCCAAAGACTCTAAGCCTCTCCCTCTCGGCAACACTCTGAAAGATCTTGCATTACTGCGCATCTCAGGGGAAAATCTCTCGTCCCTGGTACCTGTGCCTCAGGACAAATCATCAACACCAGAGAATGCGGAAGTTGATCGGTCATTCGAGTTCGTTCGTGAAGCACGGAAGGCAATCAGATTGTGTAACCGTGGAGAAGTAGAGAGCGTAGGGGAGCAGGTAGAAGCGGTGCGGACCAAAGTGGAAGATTTGCAGAAGTCAATGTTTTGAAGGCCCGTTCGAGCACGATACAAGATTGGACCACTGGGTACGAGGATTTTGTAACACTGGATTCTATCGCATGAAAACATCATGCCGGGACTGTGGGGGGCCGTAAGCGCCGTTCATCTCGTCATGCCTGTCTCCACTTTCGGCCTTTCTTTCGATCCTGACCAGGTCCCCAGAGTTCGACGTCGAGGCTATTCGCCAGCTGGGTTCTTATCCCCAGGTTCCATTGATCCGGATCTTCGTTGCGATCGCTGTGATTTAGCTACCAAGTAGCTACATACAGCTAGCAGCCTGCACGCATACACGCATATAGTGTCAGATAACAGTTCAGCCTACTGCCCGTCAATCATTCTGTGAATCATACACATGTGCGACGCGTGCTAGGCGAGGGCACATTCAGCCATGTTTGGCGCATAGATATCAGATATCGCTTCTGCCTTTGGCGAGTTGCAGGGCTCTCGCTATTACTATAGGGAACGCGGTGACTATGCGCCTGTTTTCCATGCTTGGGTTGCTGCGTATCGATATCTGTGCTTGAATCGAAGGCGCCACCCAACGCCGCTCAGACAACAAAGGGTTACTAATAAGTAGACGTTTTGTCAGGATAAACAACATAAGCGCGACCGGATGCACGTGGTACAAAAGGCCACGAACTTTTTTGGCCTCGGACTCGGCAAGGGTTATCAGCAACCACCACGGACGGTCATGAGCGAAGGCGTTGTGCAGGCTCTTTTCGCTCTGAGAGTGCTGGGACCGGTCGCCGTCGGCCTCTCTTGGCTCTCGCTACTCTCGGCCACTCCATCGACTCCCATCGAGGTCGCAGAAATCACACGTGTTGTGGTGCCGACTATCCTCCCCCGTCGCGGGCTCATCTTGACCCTTCTTTCTCTCTCTGCTCTCTCTTTCCTTGCTCAAGGACTCGTCTTCACCGTCTATGCTGTTATCGACAAGACCTGGCCACCAGGGACCGGCATTGAATACAATGCCCTCTTGGGCCTGGTTGCCTTCGCAGGGTTTGCTGTCTTCGGTGCATGGAGAGAGATTCGTGGCGTCAGTGTTTGGTCCTCGCGACGGATCAGATTTGCGGTGGTCGTTTCCGTGGTCGTTGACCTTGCCATTGCTCTCTTACTTGGCAAGTCTCTGGGATTGACCGGACGGTGTAAGCACTGAATACATATTGTGCTTGACCGCGACTCACGCTACATCAGCCCGGATCCCCATCAACCAGGAAACTGTTCAAGTCATCTTCCCCATCTTGCGTGTCTTTAGTGGCACAGTCCTCGTCTTCGCTCTGTCTTCACCCAGGATCGTCTACAAGGCTGTTACACAAGACCAGGCTCCAGAGTCTTCGATTGCCGAGGAATCCTCCCTTCTTCCTGCTCCATCCACGGGTCTTTCTCCTGTCTCTGCTGAGGCTGCGAGCAAGTATGGCACTTTCGGAGTGGCACCCTCTGAGACGAGTTTGAATCCGACGACTCGGGGTCCTAGTCCGATGCGGGCCGATGTTGCCGATAGCAAGGTGAATATGGTAACCGACCACATGTATGGATTGATGCTCATTTTTTCTTCAGAAACTTGCGTCTTCAGAAGTCTCGCTGGATCCATCTTGGAGGGAGATTTGGCGACGTCTAGCTCGCCTCAGTCCTTACTTGTGGCCATCGAAGAGCAGGTCGCTGCAGCTCTTGGTTGTAAGTCAAGAATCGTTGTCCGTACGTTACCTCTGACGTACTTCAGGTACTCTGCATTGTGATCGTTCTCGTGGGCCGTGTTGTCAATGCCAGCATTCCTTTCGCTCTAGGAGAGATGGTCAGCATCTTCGAGGGCCAGTCGAGCCGATCAATCTGGCCTGTTCTTCTTGTGTATGTAGGACTGCGGTTCCTGCAAGGCAGCGGTGGATTGGCTGCTCTTCGTGACGTAAGCCTCGATTTGGCTTCTACAGGAAATAGATTGCCCACATATTGCAGTATCTTTGGATGCCTGTTCTCCAATACTCGGATCGCGGTTGGTTCCGTTCTACCGGTTGCGCACTCGTACTGAAATGTACACAGAAATGTCTCAACTAGCTTTCGACCATCTTCTCCAGCTTTCCCTCTCATTCCACACCCATCGCAAGACAGGCGAGGTTCTCCGCGTTCTTGATCGCGGCGCTGCTATCAATCACACGTTCGAGGCAAGTTTCTGAATGGTGAAAGTAGCATGTTCCATGACCAGGTCCTTCAGGTTCTCCTGTTCACGATCGTGCCGACCTTGATCGATATTGCTGTCGCGCTTTTCGTCTTCTGCTTCAAGTTTGAACTGCTGCTTGCGATTGTCATCTTTGTGGTGATGGTGGCTTATTGTATGTCCTTGCACGCTGCACACCGTCGATTCTAATCTATTTCAGTCTCGTCGAGCGTCATCATCACGCGCTGGCGCACGAAACTGCGGCGAGAAATGAATGAACGGGATATCGTCACCCGGGGCATTCACACCGACTGCTTGCTCAACTACGAGACTGTCAAGTACTTCGGGGGCGAAGAACACGAGGGTCGGCGCTACCGCGAGGCTGTCCAGGGCTATCAGCAGCTTGAATCGAGAGTCATCCTCTCTTTGAGTTTCCTGAATCTCGTGCAGAACCTCATCATCAGCAGTGGATTGCTCGTGTGTTCGTTGATAGTCGCGTGGCGCGTGACCCAAGGCCAAATGACCGCCAGCGACTTTGTCGTCTTCATCACGTATCTGACCCAGCTGTATGCCCCCCTTAATCAGCTGGGATTCATGTACAGGACCATCAATCAGTCACTCGTGGACACAGAAAAGCTGCTCAAGCTGCTCAACGAACCGACGGAGGTCAACGACAGGCCAAATGCGACCAATCTCGTCATTGACGGCGGAGAGATCGAATTCGGTGCGTGAATCGGGATCCTTGTTGTGGCTTTTTTTTGACAGCGACGCAAGAGAACGTCAACTTCTCGTATGATAACAGAACCACGGCTTTGAACGGCGTCTCATTCAAAGTGCCGAAAGGCTCTTCGGTAGCCCTTGTTGGCGAGTCGGGAGCAGGAAAATCGACTGTTTTGCGCCTGCTTTACCGTTTCTACGATCTTCCTGAGGGAGGAGGGAGGATTCTCATCGACGGCCAGGACATTCGCGAGATCACACAAAAGTCTCTTCGGTCGGCCATTGGAGTTGTTCCCCAAGACCCTGTTCTGTTCAACTCGAGCATCGGCTACAACATTGGGTCAGCATCTGTTCATTTGAATGAGTCGGGTTGTTGCTGAGCTGCGTTTACAGCTACGGAAAATTCGATTCGACGCCTGAGGAAATCGAGGAGGCGGCCAAGTCGGCTCAGATGCACGAGCGCATTTCGGGCTTCCCCGATGGTGAGCAGCGCTGAATGGAGAATGAAACATCTCGATGACGCATGTTACTAGGCTACGACACCAAGGTTGGCGAACGGGGCGTGCGCTTGAGTGGCGGCGAGAAGCAGAGGGTGGCGATTGCGCGGACGCTTCTCAAGAACCCTCCGATCCTCCTTCTCGACGAGGCGACAAGGTACGAGTCTGCGCCGGCCTCGGAATCTTTCTTTCCTCACAGGTCTGCAGTGCCCTCGACACTTCTACCGAAAAGGACATCCAGAAAGCACTACACAACCTTGTTCAAGGCCGTTCGTCGCTGTCCATCGCTCATCGGCTGTCGGTCCGTACTTTCGTTCCGTTTTTGATGATGACTGACCCTTGTCGCAGACCATCTCTTCTGCTGACATGTTTGTCTACTGACCATCGCCTGGTACCTGATGACTGATCTTGTTGGCAGCATCCTGGTTCTCAAGGACGGTCAAATCGTCGAGCAAGGCAGCCACGCTGAGCTTCTTGGTCTTGGTGGTGTCTTTGCCTCGATGTGGGCAGACCAGGTGTCCAAAGACCCGGAACTGAAGGACCCAGAACTCAAGGACCCGGAGATTGCCGACGTCCCTATTGTTGAACAAGGTTATTCTGCCGAGCCCGAGATCTCTCCCGAGGTCGCCGCCGAGGTTCCTGAAGTGACTGCTGAGATCCCAGCTATTGGCGAAGATACTATCATCGAGACTCCGGAAGCTGAGCCAGAGATGCTTCCTCCTGTCGAGGCTGAGCCGGTCGTGGCGCCTGTCGTTTCTCAACCGATCGCTTTCCCGTCGTCAGATCCCGAGCCAATTTCGTTCCCGACATCAGAATCTGAAGTCGACGCTCCCCTTTCTTTCCCGGTGTCCGAACCGGTGTCTGAACAAGCTGAATCAACGCCCTTAATGTTCCCCACTTCTGATGAACCAGCGTCCGAGGTCGAGAAAATGTCCCCCGGTGTTACATTCGAGCCCGGGCTGACCTCGCCCACAACATCTCCTGACCCAGAGGCCGAGCCAAAGCGGAAACGGATCTCATCTCAGAATTTCCAACGCATTGCGCGTCGGATTTCTTTGACCACTCGTCGACAAGGATCTACCTCCGGCATCGCTTCCATCATCCCCGGCCTTCGGCGTGACAAGAGTGACAAGGCTGTGCCCACTGAAACGGGCAGCCTCCGCGGCGAGACCATCGGCAGGGACTCTACAGACAGTCCAACCCCAAGTCTTTCTAGTGACAAGGGCAAGGCCTCGACCAAGACTCTCAAGAAGGACAAACGGAAGAGCACACTGAGCTAAGCGCTCATTCACGTGACCCTCCTCATTAACGAAAATTTGACGACTATATGCATGCTTTTCATGACTCACCTCGCATACTTCTACTTCACATTGCTATCGTAGTATCATACTTGTGGAATCATTTACCAACTTACGATCAACATCCTGGGAACCCAGACACGGCGTCTTCACATCGTCGGAGTTTGAAATCTCTTGTATATAACCGTCGAAGGTGTCACGGGTCAGACTCCCTTCTTACTTCAAACCACATCGTTTCGACGTTCCGCATCGGTTTCGTTCTGGTCTCGGTGTCTCAGGGTTCGATATTGTATTAACACCATGTCAAAAGTCTACGTTGGGTTCGTCTTGTGTATTGGCCATGGCCTGTTTAACGCCCCTGTCTATGTGTTGACCTGTGGCATAGCAATTTGAGTTGGAACACTACGGATGATACTTTGCGCTCTGTCAGTCTGATTCTCGGCTTCTAAATCTCTCCTGTTGTGTGTTCTTCGTCCTGAACTGTAATATAGGCGTTTGGCCAGTTTGGTCAGGTCCTTGATGTGCGCTTCCATCATATCACGGTTATGCGGTATCGATAATGCTAATCGCGCTTCGCAGTCAATCGTGATGAGGGACCGCGAAAGTAGGCTGATTGTAAGACGTAGAGTATCATATGCTAAGGGCCTCTGTCTATCCAGCTGGACGTTCGCGTGGGTTCGGATTCGTCACGTTTGGCACTCCGCAAGAAGCGGACTCGGCCATTACCGGAATGAACGATCAGGACTTGGACGGTAGACAAATCCGTGTCAACTTGGCTAACGCTCGTCCCGGAGGAGGAGGAGGAGGCGGCGGCGGAGGGTACAGCGGGGGAGGTGGTTACAGTGCGTGTGCCTCATTTGTCTCAACCTCGGTTTCTGCTAATACAATGTGCAACAGGTGGAGGAGGTGGCGGAGGAGGCTACCAGGGTGGGGGAGGCTACCAGGGCGGAGGAGGCTATCAAGGTGGAGGCGGGGGTTACCAGGGCGGAGGAGGCTACCAAGGCGGAGGAGGCTATCAAGGAGGCGGGGGATACCAAGGTGGCGGTTCCGGGTACAATGGTGTGTGCCTAGCCCCTCTCGCTGTGGAGTCGTCGCTTACTTGCTTTTCACTTCCAGGAGGAGGATATCAAGGCGGAGGGTACCAAGGAGGTTATTGAGAATCATCCAGGATCCAATGCCATCCCACTTCTCCGCTTCCAGCTTCCAGCGTCCACTGTCGTTAACACTCGCGTTATTTCGTTCCTTGTTCATTCACGGTTGGGCAATTCGATGACGGGCTTGTACCACTACCACTATGTCTGTCGGCGTTGTAAATGTATCTCAAGATGTACTTGGTTATGAAAACGTTGCTCTTGTTACTACAGCTACCGTTGCGAACTGATGATGCCACCTGGAGGCTCTACAGAAAATGTTATGAGCCCCCGCCGTGCGCTCGGACCTGCACAAAAACAATCAGAGTGCCTCGAGTCTGGAACCTTAGTCCAAATTCATGAGATCAAAAATTCGAGCGCTAACAGAAACTGCCCATTGAAGCACACGATCTTGCACCAGGCCATCGACATCACGTTCTTTCCAAACCTGGACCTACAAACTCCCACATTCGTCGAAGGACCAAATGAAGGACCAAACAATCACATCGCTCTTCCGCTCTCCCAATCTTCCACACATTTTTCCCTGCCGGCTCCGTCCCTCCCCTCCCTCCGCCTCCTTTCATCCCTCGCATTCCAGGGACACCATGCCGGGTCCCGCTCGCTCCCCTTCGAGCCAGAAAGGCGTACAACCGCCCCGCCCCGCGAATGCATGGATTCTCTATCGCTCGGACAAGTCGAAGACGCTGAACCGACAAGCTCAGTCGGACATGTCTAAGGCGATCGCGACTATGTGGAAGACGGAGTCGCGCGAGGTGCGCGAGCACTATGAGAAAAAGGCTGAGGATGCCAAAGCAGAACACGCTCGCAAGTATCCCCAGTACCGTTTCCAGCCCGTGAAGAAGGAGCAGCGCCGAGCAAATAAGATTGCTTCCAAAGCCATTGGGCAAATACCTGAGCCTCAATCTTCCCAACCCCCCACTTCACATGCCACATCGGCCTCCAGCGTCCCAGGCCAGGCACGTTCGTATGCCAATCCCCTCTTGCTCAATCTCTCCCTCCCCGGGCAGCCCGATCCGCGACGGTACGGCCCTAACGGCCCCACTCCACCTATGTCCGCTGCTTCGTCCCCGAGCGGCAGCATCGTCGAATTGCCCTCAGTTAGCCGCGTGGACACTTTCATCTCTGCTGCGACCCATCCATCCTTTTACCCTCAAACACCGGCCAGCACGATCGACTCTCCGCTCATTCCAGCTGACCAAGGTCAGCAAATGGACAGTTTCGACAATGGCGCATTCTCCGCTGCGCTTGTGCCGCAGTGGAAGGCCCCTAGTGAGGATCAACCAGAGTCTCTGCTGTTCGAGGGAGGTCAGCCATGGGATGGTATGAGCATGTCCTATCCCAGTGTCCAGCAGGTCCGTCCAATTTATATTCATGGCTTACTTCAAGGACTAACCTGTGGGCGGAATAGCACGACCTTTTACAGTTCGATTTATCCGAAATGGCCATGCAGAATTGGACCGGCGATCAATCTGAGTTTGCTCAGTTATTGGGCGGCGACAGCACTGCATCCATTTTCCAATTGGACAATTTCGATCCTCAATTGCTTTTGGAGAATCCCACTGGACCTTTGGAAGTCACCATGGCTCCTATGGCTTTCAATGTCCTTGGCCAACCGATCCCCAACCTTTCTCAGCTTTCGTACTACGGACAGGACAGCCACTCGCCCATCCTCGACTCTTCATTTGGCAATGAAATTTCCCCACTCTTCACGACTGAGCAACCGACACCGGCGTATACAGACGAAGCGTCGCCTTATCCCGCCGATAAATTTTTCGATTACGATTATGGTGCCGCCCAAGGCATTCTCACTCGCCGACTGCCGAATCTTCTCGGTCTTACGTCCCACCTGCGGGAGCAGCCAATGCTTCCGCTCGCCGTGTCGGAGGCACTTGGCGCCCGAGCCCTGTGGCTGTCTCTCCCATTGATCAGACCCCCGCATGGGATGTTCGCGCGTAAAGCTTGACGCGCGCGTTTGATCTCACGATATCTCACGACTACATCGCATCATCATTTCTTCTTTGCTTTCCTGTCCTCTTGCAATTCCCTGCCGCTGCTGTCTCGCATTAGCAAAACCGTCTCTTACTTGTCATTTTGCTTTCCCTGGTTCTACCCGCCTGCCCTTCTTTGTGTATATCTGCTGTCCTCCTGCTCTCCATCCAAAACCGCTCCTGCTGTGATTACTTATCAGTCCATCTTATTCACTCAATAAATTCCGATCTCATGTCCCCGCAAGTAATGATATTTCACCTGTACTATCCATCTATTATGTGTTGTATTTTGTTGAACAATGGAAACACGTGGCCTCGTTTCAAACTCCGCATTGGTAACCCAACGCATATGGCTCCATTGTGTTCCGTGTTTGGAGAACAATGCACAGCCACCAGACCCATCTTTCTAACTTCTCAAATCAGACGTTGAGCGTTGAGTGATGTCTGATCTTGATGACCAACAGATCATGACATGCGCCAGATTTGTGGTGCACTACCTCCATGTCTTCATCAGATGCCCAATCTTCTACTTGTCCAATCCCGTTATCTCAGTCACCCGAAACCCCTCGTCCATCGTTCGCCAATCCCCGGCAGTTTATAGACCGATCGCCGACACCCGACTCTCAACGACGTCGTGCTTTCATCACAGACAAGTTGGCTCACCGCGTCGACCTCGCGCTTGCTCAGACCGCTGTCATGGCTTCTTCAGGGGTCATGGGGGGTAGCAACAAACCTCATACGTCGCCATCCAAGGTCCGTATCCATGACTAAGCCTGCTTTGCCGTAGTTATCCCTAGGCCAGGCTTCTTATGGCCGCACCTACGACTCAAAACTAGGTATGTCCTAGACGATGCGGTTCTTTTTCTGTGTAATAACTCTTTCGAAGTCACGCGTGAAATGCACAGATTAGGGAATCTCAGTCATTTGCCAACGGGATTGGCTCCGGGGCTCTCGCAGGCGCCTTCTGTTAACTCCCTGGCATTGCCTGCGCCAGGTAGCATGGCGCAAGTCAGCCTTGCCGCCACGACGAACTCCGATCCGTGGGGTGCCCTACACGTGTATGTTCTTCCATTATTCAACGGCGAGCCCTTGCGGATACCCATGCAAGTCCCTTCCGTTGTTCCACTGTCCTCTTTCCTTATCTCATGTAGAGAGGATCTTAACGTTCTGGTCACTCGCCACATCTCGTCCGTCGTCTCTTCTGCCCCATCAAAGGCCATCGCAACTCTAGAGTCAGATGCGGCGGAGTTGATAGCCTCGGGCATGGTCACGCTCAATTCAAAGCTCTCGGGCACAGAGGACGAGTCTCTACTACAACGGGTAGTGGATATCTGGACTTTTTTCTGGGACGAAGTCCTGAGCTACGTTGAGGGTGTAGGTCTTCTGAACTACATCAGCATGTGGATTTTAATGTGTTGCTCAGGCATTTGTGCCATTGCGTACTCACTCACTACTGGCTTCCCTCTATCGCAATAAACCTCATCGCCCTTCTTCGCCGAGGCAGTCCAGCAAAGTCAATGCTTCCGCACATATCAGCACGCCAAACTACATTGACGTCCGTATCATCGCCTTACGCTCTTTTCGTGACAAATTGGTGGTGCCGCTCTGTTCACGCTTGCGCACATGCATACAAAATCGTGATGAGAAGGAGAATGAGCCATTACCGATGGTACAACCGCGACTGCAGCAAATGTATAGTTCCCGCACAAGCGTCGCCAAGATCGTAGCTGACTGATTTAGGCTGTTAGTTTTATCATCACTGAGCCGTCAACGGCCACCGAAGTTGTTAACGGCAGCACCCCCTGCCCCGTCAGTCAACGAAGCCGCCATAGGCGACCTGCTGCGTACTTTACGCTCTCCGCGGCGCCAGTTTGATGTCAAGTCGACTGCTGCGAGCCCCATTCTCACTCCAAGAGCTCCCAGTTTCCTGTCCGCTGGGCTGCCGCGTGATCGACGTGGTCGCATTGCTCAAAAGCCCAACAATCTCGTCGTCGCAGAAGAGAGTGACGAAGATGTCTTTGGAGACGAAACACCTCGAATTACGCAGGGACTGACAGACCGCGACCGTGGACGCGAATTTCTCGAATCATTGCGCAGTCCAGAATTAGATGCGCCGCCGCAGGGTGGCTGGGGCTTAGGCCCAGGCGATGGGACTGTGGAAGGCAACCGACCGGAGGAGGAGGACGATGAACCCCTCAACTGGGATGAAGCACAAGCCGTGGTTGAGAGGATGGTCGGCATGTCATATGGTCAGAGTCAAGAACCACGACGACGATAGGGAACCGGGTTTGACACCCACCCAGTGTATCTATTATCCCTGTGTACTACATCACATCGACAAACTCAGTTATCTGATGACACTCCAATGCCGAGCAGGCCGCCCCAGCCTCCTCCGATCTTCCCCAATAGAGAATAGAAGATGTATGGCCCAGATGGGGCAGAGAAGAAGTGAACATCTTCAAGCTTCGCTATTTCGGCTGAAAGCGGGTCGAGGAGAGCCGAAGGGCCCTTCAAGGTCGAAGGAATATTTGTTTTCGGTGCGAATTCCAGGTTCGAAAAGTTTTCGCTCGGTACTTCGATACCAAGGGCATTGAAGACGTCATACTCGCTCCCGCGACCGAAGGCACCGTTACCAAGCCATACAGCGACGTCCGAAAACTCGTCACTTTCACTGCTCTGTCCTGCGAGTGCACTCCCGCATAGTAACGTTTCAGAGATGGCATGAGCCGTGGTGGCGAGGTTATGGAGGTAGACGACGGTATCAGAGTCTGGAGGAGAGACACCTTCCGGAATGACAAGGGCGCGCGCGGAATTGAATGTCGCGCGTGGAAAACGATGGGCAGTGGAGTACATCGCTTGACGAAGGAAGTGGCTCATGGATGGATTGGTGCCCCTGATCGCTGCTGCTCAGAGCGCTCCAAGAACAGGTCACATGTCGTCGTCATAGCTGATGTGTGGAAGCCGAGACGATGGCTTGATGGCTTGATCGTATCATTGAGTCGGCAACATGACTGACGAATTATTGCCGACCTCTTAGTTCCTCCTCCTTCTCCGCATCTGCGACCGACGTCGATGATAAGCCGTTCGCATGCTTGGTGAATATTGTCATTTATTTCGCGCTATTCCATCTCAAATCTTCCAAGTCGACAAATCATTCATCCACGCCTCACGCAGACATACTCAAACTCTCTGACCCCTCACCCATTGATTTTCCTTCGTCGCTTGCAAACACTCCCTGGAGAGACGGAAACAAATAGCAAATCTTTACCACCTCGAATTGATTCAGTCCTCAAGTCTCATGTTCAGCTTCGCCCAGGACCATTGAAAGTTTCAAAACCCGTTTCCCCATCCTCGCCCAACTTCTCAAAGGAGGATGCAACATCGAACTCTACTGAAAAACCCACAATCCAGTCTGAAGAGTCCATTTCCCTACAAGGGTTGAAGGAGGTTACCATCAAGGATATCAATGACGCGGAGAATCATGGTATCCTTGCCCCTCCACCTGCTGGTGCCGGTTGGGCGAGAGCGACTCTGCATAAGGCCATACAACTCGGAGTTCGTAGTTCTTTGCTATGATCTTCATAGTCTCATTGCCTGGCAGAAATTCTATTTCCGGGGTGTAAAGCTCGTCTATACGCGTTCTAAGATTGCGCGGGAAGTCAGACAACGGGTGGCCTCTGGAGGAGCGCCGTTGACCAGAAGAGAATTCCGCATGCTGCATACCCAAAGTGCTGATATGAAGCGGTGAGTTTCGTCGTGCTGTTTTTCACCCATTCTTACGGCATAAGATTGGTGCCATTCGTACTCATCGCTCTAGTTCTCGAAGAAGTCATCCCACTCATTGTCTTATACATGCCCTCCATGCTTCCCTCCACCTGTATCCTGCCGTCGCAACGCCAGCGCATTGAAGAAAAGGCCGTGGATAAGGCCGCGGCTCTTGTCACGGCTCACGGCAGAGATCTAGCTGCAATAACGCGCGCTGCCAACAGTGGGGAGCTAGATCTGGGTCGGCTTACGAAGGATGGGATATCCACAGTCGTCTGCGGGTCTGTGACCTTCGTATCTCTCTGCGAGTTGCTGTGTAATCTCCGACTGCAGGATGCTTCATCTTTCGACGAGCGGATTTGATTTTCTCCGAATTCGTCGCATTCGTCGGCATCTCGACTTTCTGGGGAACGATGACGCCTTGCTAGGCCAACAGGATGTCAAGTCACTGTCTCCTTCAGATCTCGTTCAAGCCCTGCACGAGAGAGCGATGTATGTTGGCCCAGCACATCTCGTCTCCGTCGACTCACACCTCATAGTGTCACGCGGGGCCTCGACGTGCACCAACAGCGAGGACGGTTGACTTGGTGGCTGAATTCCGTGAACGAGAAGGGTGGCACTACAGCTCGGCGTGCATTCCTGATAGCGCAGTTGGGCGCTCGTTGAGATATTTGATATATTATAATATTGTACACATCATAGGCTAAATCAGGACGCATGAGCTAGAGCCTGCCAATGGTCTTCGTCCCAAGGCCGAAGAAAGACGAGTTTCTGAGCCAAGCTCACAGCAGAGTTGTCACAGTCACCCTTCAGGGATAGAGACATGGCCTGGAGGGCGAGATGTTTCCAAGCTGGTGTATCTGAGGATTCGGTTGACAACAGCGCCACTGCTGCTGAGGGTTCTCCTCGTTGCACATTCAGCAGTGCCAGCTGCTGGCGAGCCTCTGCACGACTCGGTTCAGCCATCACACTGCCTTGAGCGATGGCCATCGCCAACGAGAGGTTCCCTTGACCCAGCCTGTGCTGTAGCAACAGATCATCGACGTCTCTCGACGGATCGAGCGTAAATCGTCGATCGGGAGGAAGTGCGAGCAGATCTGCGAGGGCGGCATCAACCAATCCATCGTCCTCTGTCAAAATGCCCATTCCAGCCAATGTGTTGATGGCCGCGAGATTTTCTGGATCAGTGGTTGTACTAAGGAAAAAATCAAAGTCGGACAATTCCTTTCGAAGAGCACTGACCAGTCCAGAAGATGCGCTTTGGCACTTTCCTTGCAATCCTCGGACCCGATAGTCCACATTGTTTGGGCAAGAAGCACAGCGATATGGCTTCGGACCACGGTCTCGCTGGCACTGCTCTCCAGCGCGCCTTCCAGCAGGGTGATCGCAGCGTGCGAATCACCAGATTTGAAATTCGCCAGGCCCAGACCAAAGTGAGCGTGAGCCACCATTGTTTGAGTGGCTTGATCGTTGCAGTCTCCCAATAAACCCAGGACATTCTCGAACGACTCGGCGGAAGACTCGTAGTCCTGTAACGCGAGTTTTATTCGCGCGAGATTCAATGTCGCAATGGTGAACTGGCGTTCCACGTCGGGATGTTCGGACTGTTCGTATTCGGCCTCAAGAATCGTGATGGCACGAAGCATCAGTTCATGGCGTATTCTCTCTGTCCCAGGATCTCGCAGACGAGGCCAAACAAGTGCAGCGCGCAAGCGTCGTCAGGGCGACTGTGACGGTAGCGGTCCAGGACTGAGAAAGTCGGTAACACGCCGTCAATTTGGATTGGATTGGCGTGCAGCCTCTTGATTGTGCGAGAGGCGAACTCCAAATCAGCTTCGGGCTGGTGATGTCTCAGAAGCTGTACATGATAACGATACAAAGATAGCGTACCAAGGACGATGGTAAACTCACAGCGTGCTCTAGTAAAGCTGTGGAATCAACTTCGTGCCCGTTGGCTGATGCGACGAGGGCCTGGCCGACCCAAGCAACAGTCCATTCTGGATCGAGGGTTTGCGCTCTGAGAAAAGCTTGATTGGCCAAGTCCACATCGTTTTGGCGCAGATACAACAGTCCCAGATTCGACCACGTGCGAGCGTTCTGAAATAAGTGAGATTGACGCGATCCTGTCTGTTGGCCACGCCAACCTGGAAATCGATCTCGAGCGCTTTGATGTACGCATGTTGAGCCATTTTTGCATGAGTCAGAAAGTTTGCATCGCCAAGGCCGACCCAATATAGATCATTTCCTGGATCCTCTCGGAGTGCATGCTTGAGACTTTCTTGTGCTTGTGCTTGCACTCGAGTTTGCACGTCGCCAGTGAAAAGCTTGCGCGAGATGCAAAGCAACGACATTCCTAAGTCGTACCAAGCGCTCCCCAAAGCTGTATTATCTGTAGACCCGAGGCTGACACGACAGTCGTATGCGGCTATGGCGATGTGTAATACCGCGGCACAAGTGAGGGGAGATTTCAACTCCGGTTTCAGGAAACTTGCAACTCGTCCGCTCAAGTCTCGAGGAAGCAAAGTTATCAGTTTCTCCAAAACAGCGGTAGTCCCTATTTCATCGACGTATGCCGGCCTCGCGGAAAGATGGAAAACTGCATCAGCTGCTGTCTTCCACGCGACACTGCGAAAGCCTGGACTAGCCTCCAAGGCTTTGATTGCGGTCCGGAGACAAGTGATGAGCGATCCCTCGGCACGAGTCGGGAACCCGTTTGAGAGCTCGGAGCAGCCGAGATCAAGAAACGCCTTTGCTGAGGCGATAAGAACACCAATTTCCAACGGACGATCTATCAGAATGTTTTCAAAAACATCGATGGCCTCTTGATGTTGCCCTATTTGGTGCTGCACATCACCTAGGAAGAAGCGACATATCCAGTCCTCTGGCTCGAGTTCATGGGCGCGCTCAAGTGCCTTGATAGCAGCGGCATGACGTCCCGCACGACTGTAAGCTTCTCCCAATCGCAACCAGCAGACTTGATCGTCTGGCTCCGCTCGTAGTGTGATCTGGAAAGCCCGAATAGCAGCCGGATAGTTTGCATGTGCCTACACAGATCGATCAGGTGATTGTTGAATATTTATCAGGTCGCATACCAGTTCAACCACACCAAGAGCTTTCCAAGCCCAAGCATTTGTCGGAAGGAGACGGGCACTACTCTCGGCTGTGAGGCCAGCAGTCAAACCACCCTCTCCTTCGATTGTCCTCCGAGCAACTACCTCGACGAGGTCCCACTCGCGTTCATCAGCGAAACCCTCAGCCAATCTCCGAGCAGCCTCTGCTTCACGAGCATCAATCTCGAACGCCTTCTGGAAGCACTTGGAAGCTCGCGCAGCATCAGTCGGATTGGCAAATTCCGCATAGTAAATACCAAGAGAAGTGTACGAGGGGGCGTAGGACGAGTTGCGCTTGAGCGACTGGATAAAATGCCTGTATGCGTCTTCAATATGATTCTCTGCGACGTTACAGTCCCATTCGTCGCGCTTTATTGGAAAGAATTACCTCCCAAATCCCAGTAGGACGCGCCCAGTCGCCACAAACAGCGGGCAGAATCAGCTTCGGCCCCATCTCCCGTATCTAGCACCGTCAACACGCTCTTCAGAACAGTAATGCCTTCATCCAGATTTCCGGCGCGAGTTTGGCACCAAGCTTCTTCCTCTCTTGCCCGAATTCGCATTGGGGAGCTCTCAGCAAGTGATGCAATTGCCTGCGCAAAGACCTCTGCAGCTTCTGCCCAATGCTGCTGTTGCTGAAGAACGAAAGCACGACCCATGAGACCAGCAGTATTTGTCGGGGCCTGTCTGAGGATTTGATCCAACAATGACAGCGCACGGCTGTGATGCTTTGGTGGGAAAAGATGCACTAGAGATGTTGCTAGCGTGACATTGAAGCCGAGCCGAGTGCTACAAGTACCGATCAATTAAATTTCGACAACGAGCGCGTTCGACAGACTTGGGGAACTGCTTGCCAAAGTCAGCTTCAGCTCGGCTGAGAATTGACAATCCGTTCTCGGCGACCACCATTGAATTCTGATAGTCGGCCTCCGTCAAGTATACGCTGCCCATGATCTGAGTAGCTAACACCGAATCTGACAATGAAGCGAATGAATCCTGGAGAGAGAGAGAGTCATTGACTGAACGCGGAAGGACGAAGCTCCTGACCAACATGATATCGAACGGATCTCCATCAACCAGAATTAACGTTCCTCCATTCTCGTCGTCAACTAATGGAATGCTCGAGAATTGACAGAATGCTTTCAAAAACAAAGCGAGCCCTGATCGTGGGAGTAGTTGCATGAATTGTTGCAATAACCGCATCTCGAAGTGTGCTACAGAGTCGATCAGAATCACAGAGCAGACTGGCTCGTTTTGTGTGAGCCAACACACCGGGATCGATCCAATCTTTCCCGTCGAGATAAATAGACCATGCGAGAGCGTCTGGGAGACCCAGAGTGATCGCTCCTGCGGCCAATTCATCCACTTCACGCGCGACGGTAATCTTGACGCTGGAATGAGCAGGAAGTGCACAGAGATAACGATGCTTATATCTCAGCAATTTCGCATCTGTCTTCCTGCGCAAATCGTCCGATGTGTTTGGATGGTTCAATACAGCGTCATAGTAATGTGGTAGCTTCAGGTTTCTTGACATGAGCGCACGGATCAAGAACTGAAAAAGAACACACACCTGGGAGGAACTCCAGATCTCAAGTCCAACCTCTTTACGAAGTTGTTCAGGACTAGAAGCACCTAGACGAGTGCGTCGTTTCGCAACCTCGCTCAAATAGATGGAATCTTCTTCTTTCTCGATGATCCCAAGTATCTCTTCGAGCGTGGGCAGCGTATTGTGGATAGCCGATTGGATATGATACGCCGGTGTCATGTCGGGATTGATGTGATCGGGAACAGGGAGTGTGGAAAGTAACGGATAAAGCGAAGAATTCTCCAGGAGAAGGGACAACACTTCGACCAACTGGAGAGAGTGAGAGGACGCTTTCCACCTGACACTAGATGATTTACCTGGCGCGATGTTCCTTTCTCTCTTCGACAGTCGACAAGCTTTCCCAATGCCTCCACACACTTTAACGCATCGCCTCTTCGAACGTTCACTATTAGTGGGAAAGATCGCACAAAACAGCCGACATACAATTGCGCGAATAGATCAGTCAACCGTCTCGCTGTCTCAGCGTATCGATCCCACTGCTCGAAGCGCTCGTAGAATTTGAGTAGACCCTTTCATAGCTCAGTACGGCTCTGGTTCAGATAAGTTGTCAAACGTACCTGCCACGCTAATGGCTGTTCAGGGCTCGCGTCGATTGCGTGCTGGTAAGCCTTTCGAAGGGTCAGTGAGGTTCGGCTGATCGTTCGGGCACAGATTACTTGCTCGCTCATGGCATAGTTTCCCAGTTCAAGGAGCGCTAGGCCGAGAAAAACGTGCCTGAACCATAAGTTGAATGTGCATGAAACTCAGCGCGAAAGAAAAAATCTTGCGCGTTATAGTTGCTTGGGTCAAAGGCAAGCACACTCTCGGCCGCATCTTTAGCGGCGTCGAACTGCTTCTTGCCTATTGCATCGCGGGCAGCTTTCAGTTTTGATTTGACCACTGACATGAGAAGAGAGGAAAGATTAGATTTGATCCGTCCGTACACATGAACACACTTTGACATATAGATGCTACACCCTAGTCAAACGCCCTTTGCCTCTGGCAAGCTCGACATTCCGCCACATTGTGCGAGCCTCGTTAAATGCGGCAGACGATTCATCATACCCCCTTACAAACCGGTCGACCTCAGCGGCGAAATCTTGGCCGGATTGGATGAGATCACGAATGCCGGCAAGGAATGCCTCGAGCACAGCAATGTTGTGCATGGTGAGATAAGTGTGCGCAGACATTTCGTGTGTGTGCAGCAGATGATGAATGTACGCCCGTGAGTATGATTCAGGTCGCAGTCCACATGCGTCGTGGGTGTCAAGCTTGCTGTGCAAGATAACTGCTGGCGGGTTTTCGGGAGAACATGCTATACACGAACATAGAGGGAGTGCGCTAGCGAGGCAGGAGAAATCATGCGCATATCGATGGTCGTAAAGATTGTGTCCGATAGATTGCATCTCCCCTGTGCTTTGTATAGGGAAGGCAAAGTCGAGCGCAAAGCCGTAGTGCGCAGCATCTTGGGCCCACTTGGAATCAAATATGTCAACGCCGATGTCCCTTACCAACCGCAATAGATCATGCGGAGATACAACTGAGTTGACAACTCGAATTTTCGTCTGAGGCAATGGCTGTAAAGACTGTCGCAACAATGCAATCATGTTATCGGAGCCTTCGTTGGATATCTGGAGCCCCAGTCGCAAGGGAAGGAGATCGAAGGTGTACCCCATGACACCGTCGTCGAGACATCTGTCTGATGCAACGACACCGGCTTCGTCCTCGATGGTCTCCAGCAAACGAATTGAGAATTCGGCGCGCGCGGGACTAGAAATTCCTCCAGCCATATGTACCAGGATGTTTTGCGGACGGACTGAGGGACGGAGAATGTCCGCAAGCCAAGAAGCGGACCGTGCAAGCATTTTGCTGACGCGTTTCTGCGAGTGCGGAGGTGGTGTCCACGGTATATCGGGAAGAGCGACAACGAGATCGGGACTGCAGGCTTGAACACAGGAATGCCACGAAGCAGGAGTCACTTTGCGCACGCCTCTCCCAGTCGCGATCGAGACAGAATCATTCCCATTGGGTGGTAGTTCTCTCGAGTCATTGGGATCGCGCAAAGTCAATACGAGAATGTTTTGCTGCGGATCAAAACCGAGGAATGTGTGAAGAGGGTTCGTGCCCGTTTGGAGAGTGGGGATTGGCGGTGTATTTTCTAGACTGCGGCATGGGTGAGATGAATTTGATGCGCTATTCGAGATAGATCCACGCACAACGACTCGAACGGAACCTGGATCCAACGCAATGGAGATTGTCGCAATTGAGGATGATGATCAAGGGATAAATGAGGAATAACTCCTCGTGAAGTTGCAAGTGAGATTGCTGGAGTGCTCAGAGTTGTGCCCGCACGAAGTAGAATCCCGGTTCTCGGCCCAAAACATGAGCTGGGGTTGGTGGTGAATGACAAAGACATCATTGAGGACTCTGAGATGGAATTATCATCCAGTATGTATAAGGAGTACACAATGATGGGGGAATCTGTACTTGGCAGATACATACATCCAAGGGGAAGGTAAAAAAAATCGAATGATCATGATATTACGGCATAGCAGATGCGATGCACAATAGGTACTTTTTATCGGTACCAACTCTACTTTATCCGAGTCCTCTGCGCTCGCAGATACTCCACGAAATCAACTAAAAATTGTACCTGTTCGTACGTCTCGACTGCTTTGATGCTGCGTCGCTGACGGACTATGTGGATCACTCGCTCGACCAATTCAATTATGTCTGACCGGATACCTGACTCTGCCTGGAGGAGAGGTTCCCTATTGGCCAACCAGCCACATAGGCCAAGCTTGAGGATCCAACAACAGGCTATCACACCAGCTCGGCCAACACCGCCACGACAATGAACCAGAATCGGGATTCCACGAAGCGTGTAAGATTGTATGAGGAGTGTCAGATGGAGGTCAAGATCAGCCGGCGAGAGGGGGGCGAGGCCTTCTGGAATGGGTATGCGTAGGACCGAAAGACCGAAAGACCTAGCAGCGATCTCGTATTCAGGCCACGGAGCCCCGAGAAAATCCAGCTCGACATCATCTAAGCAGCAGACTATGCATTTTACTCCCAGATGTTTTATTCTGCCCATGTCGCTAGGAAGATCGCGAGAAACACCGCATCGGCCTCTGACAGGACCATCCAATCGCACTGCAGAATGTCAGATGGTCTTTTGAAGCTGAAAATCAGCAACCACCTTTCTTTCCGGGACAAGAGGAAAGTAATAGGTTACCTATGGCGAAGCAGGGCATCTCCGACAATGGCTTCGAGACCAAGGAAGGGGTCACTGTCGATCCGATAGCAGCTTGCAGGTCTTCGTCCACACGCGACCGGTTCCTAAGGCCGATGACGGCTGTTTCACTTGCGACCGAGTGTCCAGCAGCAATGGCAAAACTGTTGTTTCTCGCGTGCACCGGGCGGGAGCTCGCAAGGAGTCGATCCAGGAAGATGGCAGGAGGGATTTCGAAAGCGGTGGGACCATGTGATGAAAGGGTGAGGTGCGAGGAGATGAGAGTTACGACTTCAACGGGGATGACGGCAGAGACGCTAGATCGCAGCGTTAGCCATCCCCAAAAGAGCACCGAACAGCCGAACGCACTTGATGGGATGCGTGGAGGAAGTTTTCACAGACGAATTGGGAAGTATGTTTGTCATCAAACGTTCTTTCAGGGCCTCCTCTAATTGATCACGAAGAGACATCGAATTCATCTGGGAGATAGATCCACACGGACCCAGGAGTACTGGAGCACATGTCTCTGTCATCTCGCATGGCCACCAGAGCTTGGCTGCAGCAGCTAATCGCTGACGCGCTTCAAGCTGACGAACGTGGTCCGGAAGGTGCATGGAGATGGGAATATAGAAGCTTGGGCAGCCGTGTGGCCCGTACTTGGAGATGGAGTGAGCGGAAAGGTGATGCTGCGACGCGAGCGACGCCAGGAGAAGGCTGGGAGGATGGATAATGTATGTTGAAGGGTGTAAAGGATCGTTAATCGACGAATGAAGAAATGATGTGGCATTCGTAGCTTCGCGAGACGTGGTCAAGGGCTGAGGAAGTTGAGCTGACTGAGGTAACACAAGAGTGAGAGACATCGGATGGGGATATCGTTTGAATGTAATTCCAGTCGGAAGAGAATGATGTCGATGTTTCCGAAATTGTGCAAGAGTAAGCCTAGTGGACGAAGTAAAAATAATATGACCAGTCTCCGCTGTCGATGTGAACAACTTGCGTAACACGTTGTCACAGAAAATGTCACGCTGTCACTTCTCGTAGCCATAGCTCCTCCTCCACTTACGCCTTCCCTTCATTCCCCCTCCGCTCGTTTGCCCGTCTCTCTGAGATGGCGATTCGGTTTCAAACGCAGTACGACTTTACCGACGTGCCGATTCCCACAAACAGGGTCCCAATACAATCGTCTGGAACAACAGTGCGACGAGCGAAGACTCTTACCCGCCCAGAGCGTGGAGTTGCTCCAGTTCCCCTCGTCGGGCCGTCGGCCCACCCTGTGGGCCCATCATCTATCTCAGAATATGGCGGTTCAGATGCCTGGCGCATTATTAGTCTTGTTCTAACTTTCTGGGCGCCTGATGTCCTGCTCGGCAGCATTGGTGGGCTGCGGGACAAGCAGATTCGCCAGGCCTGGCGTGAGAAAATGGCCCTTTGCATGATAATAGCCGTATTATGTGGGGTGGTTGCTTTCATCACCGTCGGTTTCCAGAAGGTGCTTTGCACGAACACCCAGGCAACAAGTAGCCGGTTTATACGCATGAACACTACCGCACAAACCCTAGGCGTCCAGGGTGTCGTCTTCAATATCAGCTCTGCCCAATCCCCATCGAATCTTTCTTTTCCTGCTCTTGCTGCCAAGATGCCGGGCCAGGACATCACCCAATATTTCGCCCGCACCACCAGCGACTACCCCAAATGCGCAGGTTTAACTGCTCGTGCTGCACTGGACACACCATGCACCTCCATTACGCCCTGTCAATTACCGAACCTCGGCCTCGACTCTACATTCAGTGCACTGGGTTTCAAGCGCACCAATTTTGTCATTGGCTATTCGTGGGACCAAGTCGGAGCACTCGCCAACTACATCGTGCTGGACGGAGCAGTCCTCAATTTTACGACATATATGCTCAATCATCCCAGTGCGATACCTGCTGATCCCGTGGATGCTGCTCTACGCACGTTGCTATCGGGTCCCAATACGGCGAGCGGCAAAGATGGGACGCGTCTGTTTACTTCGCGTCCGGAGCTCAAATCTTCGATCCAGTGTCTCCAGGAGCGCTACTATGCTGGCAACATCGACAAAGTCACTCCCGGCTGCTTCATCACCACCCTCGTCCTCTACCTTGGTCTTGGTGTCATCCTTGGCCTGGTCCTTATTCGCTTTGTGATGGCAATCATTTTCAAATTTGTGCTATCCCGTCGGCTCTCCGGCAACCCCGATAAACAGTCGTTGAACCGGTCGGCCATAAGCCCCGCAGTGATGCCAGGGGGTGCCAATGTTTCTATAGACAACAAGAACGGAACTGCCCCCTGGTCCAATGGTCCCAAGAAGCTCGCCAAAGGAACGAAGGGCCTGACGTCGCAATCATCCTCCCAAACAGACCAAGGACCCATCATGAGTCTGGCGCAGATCGGCGCGGAATTGTTCACGGTCTGTCTTGTTACATGTTATTCCGAAGGAGAAGAGTCGATACGAACAACATTGGACGCTATCTCCAAGACGACCTACTCTGATGCCCGCAAGCTTCTGTTCGTTGTGGCCGATGGGATGATCACAGGTGCTGGCGAGAAGCGTAGCACACCCGACATTTGTGTGAGCTTGTTGGACGCCGACCCTCGATTTGGGGAACCGATTCCGATGGGGTACCTCGCGGTCGGGTCCGGGGCGAAATCGCAGAACCGTGCCATGGTGTATGCTGGTCATTACAGTGAGTCTCTCTTCCACGTTACACGCTTGATTGATCAGATCATCTCGTCCAGCTGTAGCCGGACGGCGCACACCCACCGTCATCGTCGTCAAGTGCGGAACAGAGCAAGAAGCTCGCACGGACAAGAAACCCGGCAATCGCGGCAAGCGTGACAGTCAGCTCATCCTCATGAATTTCTTCTCCCACGTGACCTATAACGATCGAATGACTCCTCTCGACTTTGACCTCTTCCGGAAGATCCATATACTCATGGGTGTCACGCCGGATTTCTTTGAAGTTTGCCTGATGGTACGTCGAGCTTGATCATGTAGACCTGCATGCTGATGATCAATTCAGGTGGATGCCGATACCACGGTTTTCCCTGAATCATTGCGCCATCTTGTCAACTGTATGCACCACGACCACATGATCATGGGTGTCTGCGGCGAAACTCGTATAGCGAACAAACGGACTTCCTGGGTCACCGCCATCCAAGTCTTTGAGTATTTCATTTCCCACCACCTGGCGAAGGCCTTCGAATCTGTCTTTGGTGGTGTCACGTGTCTTCCAGGGTGTTTCTCCATGTTCCGGCTGAAGGCGCGAAAATCGACGGGCGACGATTGGGTTCCCCTCATTATCAAGCCCGAGATCGTGAAGGAATACAGTCAGAGCGTAGTAACTACACTGCACCAGAAGAACCTTCTTCTCCTGGGAGAAGATCGCTTTCTGACGACCATTCTGATCCGGACCTTTCCAAATAGGAAGATGATGTTTCTTCCTCAGGCTCGATGCCGAACACTCGTTCCCGACACTTTTTCTGTTCTGTTATCTCAGCGCCGCCGATGGATCAATTCCACTATCCACAATCTCATGGAGCTAGTTCTCGTCCGCAATCTGTGCGGGACCTTCTGCTTCAGCATGCAGTTTGTCGTTTTCATGGATCTTCTCGGAACCGTTGTGCTTCCGATTGCTATCGCTTTGACATACAGTCTAATCGTGGGTTCGGCGTTGAACCCGCCGAAAACATTCGAGGAGGCCATCCCCGTCATGCTACTCGTCGCTGTTCTCGGACTTCCCGGCGTGCTCATCATGATCACCACCGGCAAAATCGTCTACGTGCTTTGGATGTTGATATATCTTCTCGCCCTGCCAGTCTGGAACTTCATCCTCCCCGTATATGCGTTCTGGCACTTCGATGACTTTTCCTGGGGCGAGACCAGGTTCGTATCATTGACTGATGTGTTTCCCGCTACTTATCGTTGAACAGAAAAGTGGAAGGCGAAGGTAAGGACAAGGGACATGGCGATGAAGGAGGTGCGATAGGTGCTGAAATTCCCTTGCGACGATGGGAGGATTGGGAAAGATCTCGGTTGCGGAAGCTACGACGTGAGGAACGACGACGGAGAGACTTGGAGCGGATGCACCCTGGTGGATTTTTTGGTGCAGAGGGTGACCTGCTTTCTGTGCAAGACACTCGGAGCCAGTACGATGGTTCGGATGCCCAGTCTTTGGCCTCTTCGGACGACGACCATTGGGGACCTCAAATTGGCGGCTACAACGAATACAACGCACAGTATCCGCCGCCTCCAGTTGCACTCAATGTCCCCCATGAAACCGACCTCGAGTCAGCGCAAACACTTGATTCGAAGGAGCTGGAGGCTATGCTGGAGATGGGCTTCGACGACAAACCTGCATCCATGGCCGGAACGCGCTACCAGTTGCAGGATGGATCATCATCGAGTCTACAGCTCAGCAACGCAAACGGCAACGGCTATTCACCGTTAACCGCCGGGCAGCAAGGACCGGTTGTATTCTCCCCCACGACCCCTACAGCGCCAACCGGCCCTGGTCGAGGTATGCGACAAGGGTCACGTGCAGAGCCACGGTATGGGCCTCTGGGGCCTCTGGATCCAGCCACACAATTCTGATCGTTACCCTATACCCGGCTTTCAAGTAATTTACCATACCCTGCTGCATCGTATCCGCATATCGCATCACGCTCACATTCGTTTCCAAAATAGAGTCGAGTAGCTTCTCTGTAAGAATAATTGAAGGGAATGGTGTCGGACGGACTATTCATTTTGGCTGGTATGAACTGACAGCATTAGACAAGTCAGTTTTCAAAGATAGCAGTGGTCCTGGGCACTCCTTTCCCACTGATTCATTTGGTTGAGTCTTTTGGTTGATCTATGCACTGTTCCTTGGAATCTCTTCCCAGATGTTTACTTGGTAGCCAGCACCTCTTTGGGTGCCTGGATTTCAAACTTATAGCTACTAAAGTGACTGCAAAGAGCATTGATATTGCTTCCAGGAGATTTTCTTCTAATCTTTCTACCACATATTTCTAAGCAAATGCCCCAATCTGGTTGGGCTGGGGTAAAAGGTGCATTGATGTAAATCATGTTCTGCACCTCCAGAGGTTATGAGCTACTGCCTGCTAGCCAGCATGGAAGAACAACTGTAGGGAATGTACATGTTGAGTGTAAGGGCAACCTCAAGACTCAATCTCAGAGTGCTGGCAAGGGAGAATCCAAAGGTGAATAAGTGTGTAGCTAGGTACAAGACTGGCATACCTGGCAAGGGAGAATCCAAAGAGAAACTGTGTTGGGGATTCTCCTTTACACTGGCAGATCATTAATAAAATGGGCCATAAAGTATGCATTATGTTTCAAATATTGTTGCACAAAAAAAGTAAACTACAATAGGTACTCCAATATCTTTGAAAAAAAAAGCCCATAATCTTCCCCCATTATATTGTTGATGTGTGGATATTGTGTGTGCTTGGTTCAGACAAAGGGTGTGACATTACTCCATGATGCGTAGTATATAGCATCAGATCAATGTGACCTACTGGGCTTTTCGCCTCCCATCTGTGCCCCTAGCCTCCTGCGGCTCCCATCTGTGTTTTCTGTGTTCAACAGGTTATGGGCCCTGCTCTGACCCATCTTTAACCCCTCTTCTTCTCTCCCTGCCCCTTATTGGCCTTCCCCTTGCTGCATATTTTTCCGATTCTGCCTGATCTCCATTCTGCCACCATCTGCCACCTCCAGGACCACCATTTTGACCTCATCCACCTGCACAACCATATTGGAGGAAGGGATTGGGATGGATCAGCCAGATCTTGGGTAGAGATGTTGGGGAGGGTGTCAGATTTATGCAGATGAGTTCACAGCTACCACACAGCTGCTACATACACACATTCCCCTGGAGTGCCCCCTGCTTCACCCCTCTTCCTCAGCCACTCTCCCTGCTCACACTCCTCCCTCCTTTCCTGATTTTGATGGATTTTGATGGATTTTGCTCTGTGCTGCTGCCCCTTGCACACACCAGTTCCCACCACCCTACCCTGTCTTGTGAAGGCTGAAAATCATGTTGGATCCCCTTGGATCTTGTTGGATCTTGGTGGATTGGACAGATCTTGTTGGATCTCCCTGGATCTCTGCTGGATCTTTGCAGATCAACTTGAATGCTGAAGAAGACTCGAATTGGGTGCAGGGTGTTGAAGTAATGGCTCGACTGGCCATATAGTCGGTGCGCCTCACACGTAAAACCTCCTCCTTAATTTGTACATCTTATCTATCTGATCACTTACTGATCGGTTTCACACTCGATCGCATACATAACAGCCCCTCATTACCTATTTTCCCTCAGTCGTTTGCTCTACTCCGTGCACCCGACTGAGGTACGTACCTACTGCTCCGTTCCCATACTTCCTACTTACTTACATACACGCATTACTGTACTAATGCAACCGTAGAGTCAGGGGGGTAGCCGGTGACATGTGTCAACGAAATGTGTCATCAGTCAAGCCTGCCGGTCACTGGTGACACCCATCAAAGAGCCGTCAAGCTGATGGTCGCGGGAGCGCATCTGACGGGCCACAAGCAGTCGACTCTTTGGTGGATTTTTCTACTACATTGTACACAATCAGTAGCAAGTAGCTCAAGTGCAATTAAATTCAGTAAAATTTGTCTGAAAAAATGTTTTTTCTTGAATGAAGTGTGTCAGTAGTCAAGCTGGCTGGTGACCGGTGACAGAGCCTGAGATGAGTCAAGTCAGAGGTCCTGGTGACCGGTGACTTGACTCTACGGTTGCGTTAGTACAGTAGTCTATTCTTTCACAGGTATATACAAATACAGTCGTTTTCTCTACTCCGTGCACCCGACTGAGTCTATTCTTTCACAGGTTATGGGCCCTGTTGCTTGAACCCTCTGAACGAATACAAAACTTGACGCACGAAGCCTCGATCTTCACGACTCAAGATCTCTTTAACTCGATTTTGCAAAATACCGTACAAGCTCTATACTGGACATTGTTGTCGCGCCCCTGACCATGTCAATGAAAACGGTCCAAACTCTCCCTGACAGTGAGAAGTTCAACGGAACCGGATTCAGTGGTTTCAAAACCAAGATTATCGTACTCGCGAATGCCGCCGGACTCGGTGCATACTTTGAAGGGAATATCCTGAAACCCTCTCCTCCTCCCGATCAAATTGGAGTGGCCCCGACCCACATATCTCTGCCTCCCGATCCCACACCTGTCTATTCGCATTCCCCCAGCCTCGATGAGTGGGTGTATCGTGACTCCATTGCAAAGGCCCTCATTGTCCTGAACGTCAAAGACCCTATTGGCCTGGGCATTAAGACAGACGGCACAGCTGCGGAGGCATGGAGCTCACTCACCAGCAACTATGGGCAGAATAACCCAATGGCCCAGCTTCATGCAAAACGCGACCTTCACACCACGTTCCTCAGGCCCGGCGTCCCAATTCTGGAACACGTATTGCGCATGCGCAACCTCTGGAAACAAGCCAATGACGTGGGAGCGTCAGTTACCAATGACCAGTTCAAGTCGATATTTATCGGGTCACTGAACGAGGAGTGGGACACGGTGATCCCGCTCCTCTACGGGATGAGCACCTCTGCCGAGATTATCAGTTTCGTCACCATGCACTCCGTACGCCTGGCAAATCGAGCAATCACCTCGTCAACCCCAACTGGAACCCAGGCTCTTGCTACCAATACCAACAGCGACCATGACGCTTGACGTGCAGCTCGGCAAAACCTGGTCTGTACCAATGCTCAGTGCGGTGCAAATGGGAAACAAGGTCACACCATCGCGGACTGCTTCTGGCCTGGCGGAGGGAAGGCGGGCCAATGGCCGGCTTGGTGGAAAGGGAGACGTGATGGGGCTGCCGCGAATGCGGTTGACACTTATGTCCTTGCCGCCTGGAGTATCCCCGCTGCAACCATTAATGTTTATGATTGCGCCGGAACACAAACGGTTCACCTGGATGGGGAGAACCTACTTGCATCACCCGAAACACTGATGAACTGGCGCGAGGCCACCAAGGCGACTATATCAGTGTCAGTACTGACGAGCGTGGATCCACCAAACCCCACATCCATGGTGCATCCGCAGCTTGATCCGTCGATTAGCGCAAGTGACAAAGATCCTGTCTCGAAGATCAACGGGGTAGCCAAAGACAGCAACAGCGAAGATGCTACTCCCGTCGTCTATGTGAACGCCGCCGTCACCGAGAAAGCATACATCGTGGTTGCTGACTCCGCTGCCAAGACCACTGCTTCCACCGCCACGAGGATTTTGACCAGTATGTCCCTGTGGATCGCCAGGGAACCGCAGCTGGTGGTTCCAAATTTCGCATTGTCGCAACTGGGACTGTTACCAAAACTGTCATGTTCAATGGACGCAGAAAGACAATCACCTTGAGCGCCCTCCATACTCCCGAGCTTGCCATCAACTTGGTGTCAATTCCCCGCCTCGATGAAAAGGGCATTAGCACCGCCATTTCAGGGGGTGTTGCAACGTTCTCCGATGCGGCTGGACACCCGTTCATGCAGGCTAAATGCGTGGACGGAATGTATCGCCTGGACTTCGAGAGCTCCAGATTGACCGTTGCATTGAGTGCGGACTCCCGCGCCAAACCTGCTGACAGAGAAACGTGGCATCGCCGGCTTGGTCACATTGGCAACACCAGACTTGACGCGCTGATGGTGAAAGAGACCGTGAAGGGACTGGAGGTGGTTGATGGGGAGGAGCATGGCCTATGCAAGGACTGCATCACAGGAAAACAGACACATCGACCGTTTGACGGAGATCACGAACGAGAGCGTGAAATCAGTGAATGCCTATACATCGACCTTTGGGGTCCAGCGCAACTGACAGGAATCGGTGGAGTGCGCTTCCTGTTTCATGCAGTCGACGGACACAGCGCTGGTGTATGGACTTTTGGCTTGAAGTCAAAGGAGGCGTCAGGGACGTTAGAGGCGTTCAAGCGTGTGAAGGCGGAAATCGAGACTCAGAGCGGAAATCGAGTCAAACATGTGCGGACTGATGGCGGAGGTGAATGGAAGAACGCACTATGGGATGCGTATCTTCTGGCTGAGGGGATCATCCCGGAGGCTGTGACACCGCACTCTTCAGCACAGAATGGTGTGGGTGAGAGGGGCATACGCACCACAATCGAGATGACGCGCTGCATCCTGGCTGACTCTGGTTTGCCGAAGTCTTTGTGGCCAAAAGCAACAGCGACAGCGACGTACCTCCAATGGTTTCATCCAAAGAAGCGCACTGGAGGAGTGACACCATGGGAGGTCTTCCACGGTGTTAAGCCAGACTTGTCCCACCTTCGCGTCTTTGGTTCCACCGCCTACGCCAAAATCATCCCCGCTTTGTCGTCCGATGGAAAGCTCAGCACGCAGACAGTAAAAGTCCAGATGGCCGGCTACAATGGAACCGCGGGATATCAGATGTGGGATGCGGGGAAACAGCGATTCTTCAATGCTCGTGATGTGATTTTCGAGGAGGGCAGTGGACATTGGTCGCAGGCGTCGACAGCAGGGGGAGATGTGGAAGACCAGGCTGCCGAGCCTGAACTCAGGGCTGTCGAGCCTGTGCCGCACGTTCCTGTTATCGTTGTTCCTTCCCAGACTGACCAAAGTACTCCTCCTGCAGATGTCCTGAGTGCGCCAACTCCTGCGATTGCACAGTCGGATCCCATCCCAACCAGACGTTCAACACGACAGGCCGTGGCTTCTCGAGCTAAAGGGCAATCGCATACTGCTGAGTCCATTGAATCAGCGGCAAAAGCAGCTGGTGAAGACTGGGCGACGAACTCCAAACGGCCCAAGCGGACGCGAGCCACGAAGGCTTTCAACATTTCAACTCTACCGGTACCAAAGAGCTATCAGGAAGCCATGGAGCAACCTGATCTCTGGCTTGGTCCGATGGAGAAGGAGTATGCGTCGCTGCTTGGTCGGGAAGTGTGGAGACTCGTTCATCCACCTCCCGATGTGAATGTTATTGATTGCAAGTGGGTGTATGCAGTCAAATACGACGCAGCTGGGGAGATCATCAAGTGGAAAGCACGCCTGGTCGCTAAGGGATTCCAACAGATTGAAGGAGTCGATTTCTTCGAAACATATGCAGGCGTTGTCCGCTATGAATCGTTGAGAATGCTCTGGGCCATCTGCGTGGATGAACCTGGCTGGGTGATGTGGGCGATGGATGTTGTCAGTGCCTACCTCAATGCTAAGATGACGGAAACGGTCTATATGCGTCAACCCGAGGGATTCATAGTCCCAGGGCAGGAGGACAAGGTCTGCCTGATGTTGCGCTCACTGTACGGGATGATGCACTCGGGTTGCAACTGGGCTCATGACCTCAATGTCTCTCTGGGTGCCTTAGAATGGGTTCGATCGCGTGCAGATCCGGCAGTACGGATTTGGCATAGCGAGGCAGGGACTTTGATCCTGGGTGTCTATACCAATGACATGGATGGGAGTGCCCCTAGCCTCCTGCGGCTCCCATCTGTGTTTTCTGTGTTCAACATATATTGGCTATTGTGTCCCAAACTAGGACAAATGATTGTTTAGATATTGTGTCCCATTAACATGTACTTTTCTGTAGTCAGTTTTTTGATGATATCACAGCTCAATTATATTTTAAAGATGGTGAGATACAATATTGACCACAATTTCCAACAAAAAAACCCCAAAAAATAAGTGTGTCAGATATTTGAGATATTGTGGCCTGAAACGGTTTGCACAGATATCTGGAAACCCACCTGGTATACCCAGATGGGGAAACACTAGAAAAAGGGCTGAAAGAGGATTGGACGGAGATGAATCTGAATCAAGCTGTATTCTGTTGAGCACTGGGGAGAGCGTCTAGCAACCCACCTGTGTGAGTTGAGAGCTTAGTGTGGGCACTATGCGGGAGTAGTCATGTTGATAAAATGGCTGAACCAGGAATTGAACCTGGGACCTCTGACTTGGATCGTCCAGTGCTCTAACCACTGAGCTATTCTGCCTTGGTGCTGGGATTCCCAACTCCAACAAGCCAAGAGACTTGTATTAAAGGGTAATAGAGCCCTCCTTATATATGATACTGTTGAACTCAGAAAACACAGATGGGAGCCGCAGGAGGCTAGGGGCACAGATGGGAGGCGAAAAGCCCAGTCTGTCACATTGATTTAGAGCTATGCACTGATGGTCACATAGCTAAGTAACACTCTTTTGTCTGAACCAAGCAAGACATCCTTTCCACACTTCAACACTCCCACCCTTGGGAAGACAAAACCAATCAAACAGAACACTCCCACCAGATCCAAGGCCACTCCCACCCAACCTAAGTCCGTCTTGGAGACAGGAATGGTCCACTAGGCCCTCCACCAATCTCCGCTTCATTGGACATCTGGAACTCATCCCACATCTCAAAGAAGCTCTCCCTGGTCAGACCAGCCTCCAGTGCAGCAGAGATAGCTGCAGAAGCGGAGCTGCTCTTGCCATTAGCCAGGATCCAGTCCTTGACAAAGGTGGGCATGGTGTGCATGCACTTGTGAGCGATGTGGCCAGTGCGTCCACAGCGATGGCAGCCCCTGGTGATAGGGTCACACCAACGAAAACCTTGGGAATCCAGCGGAAATCCGTCCTGGGTGTTGATATGTGGATATTGTATGTGCTTGGTTCGGACAAAGGGTGTGACATTACTCTGTGACACATAGTATACTGTACTATTTCGACCGTAGTTTCGACCCGATGACCGATGACAGCTTAGATTCGATGGTGCATAGCTTCGAGGTCCGGGATGACCGATGACAGCTGTCAGATAGCTTTGTTGTGATGTCGGGCACTGGCGGCGCCCGGATCTGATTAAGCACAAGGGAATGCACCCAATTGAAGCTGTCTTTGGGTTAAAATGTGATTGTTTGTCATATTAGAACTAATCTAGCCTAGATTTGACACGATCACACTGATTAAGCTCGCTCTGTGAATAGATTGTTACCACTGTCCTGCCAGCGCATCTTCGACAGTCTCTCCATGGATAACAACGAGCCTGCCATGTTTGATCCTTTCCCGTGGATTGGCGCGGGATACAAATGGAGTGCTGTGCCTCCACGTGTCCGTCGCTTCGCTGCTAATGAAGTCTTCGCCATCCCCGCTGAACTCGGCATCTTGCCCTCGGACAATCTGCCCATCGCTGGGCTTCTTTCTCTCACAAATTGGAAGCTCACCTGGTTTACCCAGGTGAGAAACACTAAGTCCGAGAGGTGAATGAGGAAAAGAGGGGTCGTCGAGACAAGGGATGAATCTGAATCAAGCTGTATTCTGAGAGTGATACGTATCGTAGTGGAAGTTGAGAGAGAGAGCGAGAGATGATGATGATGTCAGTAACTACGTAAGCAAGCAGGCTTGCACCCCTCCCCTCCCCGAAAAAAAAGAGGCCTCTCCGAACGTAAGTAGGTAGGGGAAAGTATTCTAAGCCTGCCGCGTGGGTGCGTCAAAATAAAACCACGTGGGAAAAAAGCTACCGGGGCAGGCTGGAAGGTCAATAAGTAGCAATAAACCAATCATCCTTCCAGCGTTTCCTTCGCGGTTTGCCAGGTTGCTAGCGCTTCGGTACCGATCAGGTCGCGTCCTGGGAGCCAGCGATCGTCTTCTGGCCCATGGTTCAGATAGTGTACCATGTATTGGATGCCTCGGCCACAGCGCCGTTCGTCCACAATGCATTCGACCGTTGTGTGGTCCGCCAAACCCGTCGATCGGGCCCGCCCGGGGAATAGTGCGTCGTCATTTTCCCTGTAAGGTTCTATTTCAGAAGCGTGAAAAACCGGGTACACATGCGGCTGGTTAGGCATGCTGAGGGTGTAAGTTGAGCACTCATCGTGCTTTGCGGTCACCGTGTAGGGGCCGTCAAACCGAGGCATGTACTTGGCGACCCGATTGTGCCCTTGACTGATGTACGCCGCCCGACGATTCTTTGTTGACAGTTTCACGCGGTCGCCGACTTCGATCTTGTGGTCTGCTCCGCGGGACTTATTTGCCTGTGCCGCTTGTGAAATTTTTGCTGCGGTTAGATTATCCTTGGCTTCCATCACGTCGGTTTCGAGAGCGTTTATCACCACGCGCGCCAGCGCCTCTTCGTCCGAGACTTCGCTCACGGCCGTCGCTGGTACCAGCGGTGGGAGTAGCCGTGGTGATCTGCCCATGCGGAGCTGAAAGCCCGAGAAACCTGTGGACGCGTTAACTGTGTTCATCATGTCAAAGCGCACACGCGGCAGGGCTCGCAGCCATCCCCTCTGGTTTCGCGCGACATGGTAGCGTATTGCCTGGTTCACTGTCTTGTTCGTGCGTTCGCTCGCGCCGTCGGACTGTGGGTGGAAAGCCGTCGACATCTTCAATTTGATGCCCGTAAGCCTGGTGAAAGCCTTCCAGAATTCCGACAGGAATAGCTTGTCCCGGTCCGAGACCAACTCGAGGGGGACACCATTCTCGCAATACCAATTGTCAAAGAACAACGATGCTAGCTCGTGTGCGGTCACCGTTGTGGTGGTTGGTACCAATCGCACATCTGAACCGAGGCGATCAGTGATTGTGAGAAGACAGTTGAAACCGCTCTCCATCGGCAGAGGCCCCACGAAGTCCAGAGCCACGGAATCGCCTCGACCATCTGGGATCGGTAATGGATGGAGCGGGCCGGCTCTGCGGGTTGTGCGCGACTTGTTCCGTTGGCAGTCTGCGCATGCGGGGATGTAGGCCTCTTCCAGGTCGCGCCGCATGTTGGGCCAGTAATACGCGTCTTTCAGAGCCGCATACGACTTGTCGAATCCGAAATGGCCCAAATTGTCGTGTGCCAGCCGGTAGAAGGTCTCGCGCAGGTCATCAACCCTGGGTATGATCAGTCTGCCCGAGATGTACCACAGTCGTTCTGGTAGTCTGAATTCGAGATTTGGCATGCCCTCCGCCGCAGTTGCCAGCTTCGCGCACCACGCGTCTTTCGCGTAACCTGCGCGTATCTTGTCAAGCATTCTTGCGTCCGCTGTTACCCGGAGGATCGAAGCCGTTGGCCGCGCCGGGTTAGTGGCCGCGCGGCGGGAGCATATCGACTTTGAGTGGGTCCGTGTGCGTGCCAGGGCTTGTACCGCTGTCAACGCCAAATGAGGCAGCGTTACTGCAACTGCCGATTCCGCTTGGGAACGTCCCGTCGACAGGTTGTCTGTCTCCGGATCTGCAAAATCGGTCCGCGACAGAGCGTCTGCTACCGTGTTGTCCTCGCCCTTGACGTACGCAATCTTACAGTCGTATTGGCTCATGAACTCCATCCACCGCGCCTGGCGTCTTGAAAGATCCCTTTGGCTATCGAAGTTCTCCAAGGTGCGGTGGTCAGTGTAAATTGTGAAGGGTGAGCCAATCAAGTCCACTCGCCAGCGATGAAGCGCACGGATGATGGCCAACATTTCTTTCTCATGCACGGGATAGTTTAGTTCGGCTCCTTTGAACGACATCGAATCAAAGGCTACGGGTCGCGCGGTCTCCCACGTCGGGCCCCAAGATAAAATGCCCCCAGAGCGATAGTCGCTCGCGTCCGTAGTGACAAAAATTTTGTTTTGTCCAGGGGCCTCGTGGTTGATAACCGTCAAGCACTCTGCGCTGACCACAATAGATTTTATTGCGTCGAAAGCTGCAGCCGCAGCCGGCGTCCACCGGGGGAACAATTTGTCACAAGATTTCTCCGTGTACTTTTCCAGTACTCCGGTGTGATCAGCCAAGCGAGGTAAGAACACAGCAATGTACCAGACCAGACCCAGAAATGCTCGAACGTGAGTTGCCGATTTTGGCTGTGGCCAGTTGACGATCCGGTCGATCTTGCGTGGGTCAGCCTCGATACCCTTGGTTGATACCCGGTGGCCTAAGAAATCCACCTGGTAACAGAATAGCTTCGTCTTCTTCGGGTTACAGTACAGGCCAGCGGCACGCAAGGCTGTAAACACCGTTTCGATGTGTCTCTGATGCTCATCCGGGGAATTAGACCAGATGACGATATCGTCAAGGTACACATGGCAGATTTTGCCTATGTGTTCCCGCAGTGCTCCTGTCACACGGCGTTGCTGGACCGAAGGCGCATTTCGCAGTCCCTGGGGCATGACAAGCCATTCGTAAAGGCCCAGCGGGGTACTCACCGCCGTGTATTTGATTGAGTCCGGGTGCATGCGCGTCTAGAAGAAGCTGTTGGTGAAGTCGATTGTCGACCAGATGGAACCTTTCGCACAGTCTGCCAGGATGTCGTCCACGCGTTGCAACGGAAACTTGTCCTGTACGGTATCCTTGTTAATTTGGCGGAAGTTGTTCACCCACCGCGGTAGGACTGTCTTATCCGCTTTCGGGATCAGAAATGCAGGCGATGCGTACGGCGACAACAAAGGGCGGATTCTGCCCGCATCCAAGTGCTTCTGAATGAGGGTTTGCCACGCCTCTCTATATTTGCGTGGACTCTGGTAGCTCCTCGTCTTGAACGTTAAATCCGCTTCTTTGAGCTTTATTTCGCAAGTCACGTCCGTGGGCAGGGAGTCAATGTGGGGCACCGGCTCAAAAATGTCTGCGTATTTGCGTTTCATTTCCTCCCCGCGTTGTTGTAAGGCGTCCCAGTGTGACAGCGTCTCTATGCGAGCTTTTATTGCTGCGATGACGTCCACTGGCTTGACCTGCTCAAAGAGGTTCGCGTCTTCCATCTCTGTTCGCCTTGCCGCGCAAACTTCCGTCAGCTCAGCCACCATGTCTTTGTGATTTGCTATCGCTTGCTTCACGCGTTGCCGTGCAGTCGGCGGCACAGCGCGCTGCTGAACCGGCAGGGGATTCAACAAGTCATATCCGGACCGTTTATCCACAACGGTCCGGTCGCGATGATCAATTACAATATGGTTATGTGAGAGCCAAGGGAGGCCCAATACTACAGGAAAACACAACGACGGAGCGATGATAGCGCGTACGGTGGACGATGTCCACGTCTGATCTCGGGCGGTAACACGTAGTTTCACGTAATGCGTAAGGTCAATAAACAATTGGTTTTCGGAGTCTGAGATTGCAAGTGTGATCGATTCAGGTTTGTGTAGGCGAAACTGTCGTAAGGCAAGCTTTTCGGCAAGGTCGGAGTCGATTAGGGCTAGATGGGCACCAGAATCAATCAGCGACGTGATTTCGAGGGGCAGATTAGACATTGGACCCTCTATGAGGCAATCCCAGGACAGATGGGGCAGGTGTAAGGGCGAACTCACGCAGTCCAAGCTGTTCTCCGATTCGAAACTCGACTCGTCTACATCCGCAACCGGCATGACGACAGCCACGGCCTTGCCTTTGCCCTTCGCATTGTTTTGGGCGCGTACAGCCTTCGCCGCCAAAACACTATGTTCCGTGATCGGCGTGTACGTGCTCGGGTTGGGCCATGCTTCGCATTTCTCATGCTTGTCGCCTACAAACAATTTGCGACAGATCGTGCAACCGTTGTTACTGCGGATGATTTCGCGTTCTTCTTCGGTGAGCTTCGGCAAACGGCGTGTCGTTTGGGAGCTGGTGTTTGAGTTCGTCTTCGAAGATGGGCCAAAGGGGCGCTTAGCTTGGCGGTCGTCCACCTCACTATATGCGCGATGCTTGTCACGTTGTTCGCGGCGCTGCGAGTCCTTCTCGGCTTGCATCTGTTCGAAGATCTCGCGTTGTACACGGATGTCCGCCAGACGCTCCTCATCGATGCGTTTGACCTCGCGTACCCACCCAGTCAATTGCTTCTGGTCTTCCGTGGCCATTGCTTTCGCCTTTTGATCTTTCTTGTACAAGAGGCGGAGGCCCGCATTCATGCCCGCCTCCAGGACAGGGCGCAACTCCTTCGCGCCATAGCCTGCTTCGACCTTTGCGAGCTGGGCGTTGAACGCGAAGACTTGCGTGGCGTATTCCATGAACAAGCCTGTCGGGGGCATGAAGGCGCCGAGTAGGTCTGTCTGCACGTTGTCTTTCCACGTCGCGGGCAAGAAGGTGTCCGCGATGTCCGTGAAGAATTGAGCGAGTGTGAGTTCGGCCAAGCGTGACTCCTCGGATGTCAAATACGAGTCGATCATGGGGTCTTCAAAGATTTCCAAGCAGTAGGCGACCTGCTTGTCGTCCTCGATTTCTTTCTGTTTGAAATACGATCGGCATGCCTTTTCCGCCTGAGAGAGTACCGAGGGCGTGAGGTCTCCGGCACGGATGATGGGGAGTTTTCCGTGTGCAAGTACAAGCATGTCTTCGCTCCGTGTCATCTTGTTTGGGCGTGGTGAAGAGGAACGACGACGGGAGCGGGTCTTGGCGAGTTTGACTAAAGGGGGAACTGGAGTCTTCGACGTAGTGATTAGCGACGTCCCAGGGGTAACAGGTTCTGGTTGTGCAAGCAGAGCGTTTGTCGACACAGTGGACGGTGCAGGATCGGTATTCGGCAATGGGGAAGTCGTCAGGGCACGGTCTCGCGTCCTTCGACTGCGGGTGGTGGGCCGGGTGGGCAAGGGCGTCGCCTTAGTGGAATGGCGTGTGATGACGTGTCCGTCAAGTCTAGGTCGTAGGTTAGCCCTCATTTTAGCGGGCAGGTGGGTGGCTGCGCGATGGCTAGCGTTGTTTATGGGTGTGGCGGGTGCGGCTCACTATCCCTGACAGAACACGCCCTTTGATCCATGGAAGTAAAACCGCTTATCGAAAAGGTACGTGTCTACAGCGTCGATTGAAGATTCAAAAAAAGTGGAAGCTCACCTGGTTTACCCAGGTGAGAAACACTAAGTCCGAGAGGTGAATGAGGAAAAGAGGGGTCGTCGAGACAAGGGATGAATCTGAATCAAGCTGTATTCTGAGAGTGATACGTATCGTAGTGGAAGTCGAGAGAGAGAGCAAGAGATGATGATGATGTCAGTAACTACGTAAGCAAGCAGGCTTGCACGAATCTCCCCAAGCACACGGAAATCGCGTTGGATGAAGGAAGCAGACAGGCGATGTTCAGCAAGGACCTACCGGATCTCGATGGATCTTCACTCGCTATCTGACTGTGCCGTCTCCCCATCCCCACCAGCAAGGATATCGCTCGCATTCGGGAACAAGGCAGCCAGCAGTGGCTCGACGGCGCCAACTCCATCACGTACAAGCATGTGATTGGAGATGCGGAGGCAGCGAGTCGCTACCCTCTCTGGGTTCTTGTGTTTTGGGAGCGTGTTCACGAGATCAGGAAGATTCGGAGCATCTGGTCGCCGGTTCAGAAGTGGGTGCAGGAGAGAGCACAGGTTCGGAAGAGCCCAGAGGTTCGGGCAGAGGCGAAGAAGACTTTGGGGTACCTTGCCGAGATCCCGTGGAACCGAGGCAAGCGGGGATTGTCGGACCATAGCCCGATGCACACCATGTACCGTTTCCTCCGTAAAACATGGCTCAGCAGCACCGATGTTGACGATATCCTGGAGTTGTTGCGAGACCAGATTGCCGGGGACCAAAAGCTTCTCGAGAAGTACATTGTGGAGGGTGTGAATCTTGCGGACAAGATACAACAAGTGTTCAGCCAAGCACCAGCAAGCAGTCAGGACTACGAACAGTCGGCTAACACGCGATGGATCTCCGCTGTCGGATCTGATGTGTTTGAACTGAAACAGACACTTCTCACAGTCGTACATCTCGGGACTTACAGCGGCGAGAAGCATTGGGTGGGAATCGAGGTGGATGGAGAAGCTGACATGCTGCGCTACGGTGATTCGCTGGGGCATGAGGCACCAACAGCCTTGACTGATGCCTTTCGCTGGTGGGCATCTCAGCACGGCCTTAGCGATCTCAAAATCGGATCATTCGAGAAGATATCAAAGCAGACAGATGGGGACTCCTGTGGTTTTTTTGCGTGCGACACTGTCTTTCGTGCCGCCTTCCCCGATGCCGTGCCTCTGGAACAATCAGACTTCCCTGTTCCGCAGCTTGAGATGTTTAATCATCTAGTCGCACGTTCTCTTGATGGCGTATGTGCCAATTGAGTCTCTTTTGGTATTCAAACTGATCAAATTCACACAGATTGCCGATGAGCGTGCCAGCACTTTCATAGAGGCGGAGGACATTTGCTCGTCTGATGGCAGTGATGATGGAACAGAGGATCTTCCACCGCAGCCGCGTTCGTTCTCGAAGCTTGCCCAGTCAGCACCAGCCTTCACATTCGAATGCCAGAGCCCGTCGAAACCTCAAACAGTCATGGAGGACGATGTCTCCGAGTTGCGCTCGTCGATGTCTGGGATCAGTCTCAAACGAGAGCGCGGGAATCCAGATGCTCTGACTCCTGCACCGAGCCCTTCCAAAAAGCGAGTGCAGATATCTCATCCAACTCCACGCGACCCACCGCTGCCCATCAATCTTCCTACGGCTCATTCAAATGAGCAGCCGGTGCAATCAACTTCCGCGCTTGCCGATGTCTTCCAGAGTGGAAAGGCTGGGATGTCAAAGCCGGCCGGGACTCAGTCAAAGGTGGCTGCAAAGACCAAACGAGTCACGAACCTGTCTGATGACGAGGGGCCACAACCAAGTGTGAGATCGTTTTTCAAGAGGATAACCCGCGAGGAGAAGGATCGCAAGACTGCTCTGGCGAACGAGAAATTCAGATCGACTCGAGAGTCGAAATCGGCGGAGATTGCGGAAGCCAACTTCTTAGCGAAGAAAGATAAGCGGGAGCGCAACCGACTCAGCCAGGCAAAGTCCCGCGCCAACAAGAAGGCACTTGCTATTGCATCGGGCATAGAGACCGGGAAAAAACGGGTATGTTCAATCATACTCATCACCGAACGGACTGATGGTTCATGTCACATCCAGAAAGCGGCGGTGTTACGGGACTATGATGATGACAGCGACATCAACGATCTTGCTGAGGTGTCTAGACCTGCGCGTAAATTATCGCGTAAATCACACGCCGATGCCGGTAGCTCCAAGCCGAAAAGGGGACGCAAGCCGAAGCACACCGGTCCTCCTGAGGATGCTAAGCGCGTCAATTGGCAACATCCTCTGATCTGGCCGCAACTTGTCCTTGCTCGCAAGCGCGCGGGTTCATGGAGCCCGATTGATATCTGGCGGCAAGCTCAGCTTCTCAATAAAGCACTGTTCAAGCGTCTCGCACCCCAGACCATTGGGACGTGGATCGAAAGCTCTCGTGGGATCTCGCATTGGAGCGAATCATGTTTGGCTAGGGTGGCAAAGGGAAACGCACCCGGTGGACAATCAACGCGCTCAGGCATCCTGGTAAGCCGTTCATATCGCGGACATTGCAGTGATATTTACAAACTGAATAGGATTCGTATCCCGTCTTGATCGGTGCAATTCGGGATCAGATCAATGACTTGCGCGATCGAGGTGCTCCTCTCACTCTTGTGTCAATTCGAGCAGTTATGGTCGCGTTGATTGAGAAGCACCAGCCCAATCTATTCAGTTGTGTCGCGCCTGACAACAGCTCCTTCAAGTGCTCAGATAGTTTTGTACGCAAGTTCCTGCGGAACTTCATGGGCTTCAGCCAACAACGTGCCACCCGAGCGGCTCAGAAGATTCCGGAGAACGTAGATCGAATCCTCGAGATTGCGAATCTCCGCGAGGCGCTTCTCGTTCGGGACTATAATATTCCTGCTGCCTTGAGAGTCAATTCTGATCAGACACAGATTGTCTACCAGCAAGGGACGAAGACGACCTGGAGCAAACGCGGTGCAAAGCAAGTTAACACGGTCGGCATGGAAGAGAAGCGCGCATTCACTCTCTTCCCCTCGATTGCCGCCGATGGGACACTGCTACCTATGCAGGCAATATTCTCGGGTAAAACCACTGCTTCATGTCCTCACAAGAACGCTCCACGCTATGACGAGGCTTCGAAGCTCGGATTTCGCTTTGAGCCCTCCGGGAATGGAACCTATTGGTCGACTCACACAACAATGCATTCGTTCGTTGACAACATCCTTGCCCCACACTTCGAAGACACGAAAGCGAGGCTGAAACTTCCGGAGACTCAGTACAGCCTTTGGAAGATCGATTGCTGGTCTGTCCATCGGTCAGACGAGTTCCTGACTTGGATGAAGGCGAGTCATCCTCGTATCCTGATCTGTTTTGTTCCTGGTGGTTGCACCGGCCTTTTCCAACCTCTCGACGTTGGAGTCCAGCGGGTGATGAAGCATGCTATGAAGCTCTCAGCCCATGAAGATGTCGTTGCAGAAGCGTCTTCGCTGCTGAGGTCCGGCGCACTTGTGGGCAAATTGTACACTACAGTTACGACTCTACGCGATCGGTGTGTTGGATGGATCATCGATGCGTTCCATGCCTGCAACGATCGAGAGTTGGTTCAAAAGGTCTGTTTTCTTTTGAATCTTGATTCCAGCTGCTGATTCGGGTCGCAGGCCTTCGAAATGTGCCGCGCTGGGGATTTCAACTCGTCGCATGCCAGCTTGACATCTCCCAAGATGCTTGAGATCTTGCGAGAACTCCCGCGGACTGATCCAGAGGCGTCTGTGCAAATCACATCCACGGAGAAGCGAAAGAAAAAAACGAAGGCCAAGGCTGCGCCGGAGTCCGACTTGGAGGAGAAGATGGAATATGAAGACGAAGAGGAAGAGGAAGATTTTCCGGACGAAGAAGAGCCCGATACGGGACACGGCCAATCACCTGACGAAAGCGATGTCCCCCTCGCTGTCGTGCGAAATGTCGTTCTCAATCCACACGAGAACCTGCCAGAAGGTTATGATCTTGACGACGAAGGAAGGCATCATCAGGACGGGTGTAGTCGAGGAGGTGAATTTTGGAACTGAGGTGGCTAATCTTCCAATCTCGACTAGGCGGAAACGTCGCAACATTCGCGTGTTGGTGATGGGTTTTGGACTTGATCACTCTCTGGTGATTGGGTCACATGATCATTTGATTCCATCTGATCCTATCACTGATCCTATCACTGATGATATCTGATTCCATCACTGTTCCCATCATTCCATCATTCTGGTCACATGACTTCTGATCACATGATTCCTGTACAGTCACATGCTCCATCCACATAGATAGTTCCTCCCTCCCTGGAGTTCTTCAGCTTCTTACTGTTGACTCCAGGTCTGTAGATTCTTTTCTTGTCTTGTCTTGCAATGCAGAGCTTCTTACTGTTGACTCCAGTCCTCTCTGCATTTCCTGCTTCAACATACTCTCCCCCTTTATCGACCTGGAATGCCTTGATCTTCAGCCCCCAGTGAGTCTCAGCATATGCTTGAAACATCTTGAGGGCTGCAAATGTCTCACTCTTGTTCTTCATGTGGTATGCTACCTTGAAGCCAGTGTGATCATCAACAAAAGTCACCCTGTGCTTCCAGCCCTCGCGGGTGGGCACAGAGTAGCTCTTTAGATCAGAGTGAATAAGATCAAGAGGCGCTCCAGAACGATGACCAGTCAAAGGAAACAGGCCAGCATTCAGCTTGCCAAAGAGGCATGGCTCACAGATGGGGTCTGGCTTCCTAGCAGAGGCAAGCCTCACTCCAGTAACCAGCTCTTTATCCATGACTAGCTTGGTATCACTGTGGTGTCCAAGCCGCCTGTGCATCAGGCTGAGGTTGATGGGAAGAGTCCCAGCTGTAGAGACCAGTGCTGAACCAGCAGAAGGGAAACCAGTCTCTCTCACAAGTGCCTGACCCTGCTCTGAGATGTCTGCCACAAAGTACACTTCACCATTGCGCTTGAACAGGATGTAGTTCTCCTTCATGAGCACAGTGTAGTCATGGTGAACTGACAGGTATGTAGTGGAGATCAGATTGTGTGACAGAGCAGGGACATAGAGCACATTGGAGAGGATCACAGACCGGCTCCTGGCATGTCCATGGATCAGTGGCCTAAGCACTATCTCCCCCACAAGCTCTGAATAGACCACAAGTCCATTAGCCACTCTGATGGGTGCCCTGTGAGGACGAGTGTTCTGCAGCAGGTGCACACAATGGGTCATGTGTGATGTAGCACCAGAATCTGCAATCCACCTCAACTCAGGGTCTGCAGTGGAGTGGGAGAGAAGGCTTGTATGAGTGGCCACTTCAGACTTGACTGCACCCTTCCTAGGCCTGGGCCTAGGCTCAGGCTCAGGCTCTGGCTCAGGCTCAGAAGCATTGTCCTCTAGGAGAGACAGAAACTCTGGGCATTTTAGGAGTGTGTGGCCATGTTGATAACAGGCATAACACAATGGCTGAGCAGAAGCAGGTGCAGCTGCCAGAGCAGCAGAAGGAGAAAAGACTGATGGATGAGAGTGGGAATTTGATGCCATGCTGTGCTCGAAAATGCGCCCAGAATGATGTACGGGGTGTATCTATGTAGCTACAGGCTCTCAGGAGTGTGTTGATCTCAGGCACCTAGCTGTCTCAACCTCAGGATCACAGGAATGACTACCTGGTGTTTCCTGATGGACCAAAGAGCACACCCACTTAAGGATAGAGTCCCAACTACTAGTGCCTGAACCACAGACACTATAAGAGCAGAGGAAAAAGAGAACAGAACAGGCAGCAGAGATGTCAACTACAGTAGCAGGACTGGGGCAAGCAGGCAGCAGCAGGCAGAGAAAATCAGAGAATGGAAAAAACTCGAAAATCTCAGAATAGATGACTCAGAGGCACTCTATGTTGGTAAAATGGCTGAACCAGGAATTGAACCTGGCACCTCTGATAAGTGCAACCAGTGCTCTAACCAACTGAGCTATTCTGCCGATAGTGCTTGGGGCCCATACTCCAACACTCTAGAGGCCGGGGCCCATAACCTGTTGAAGCAGGAAATGCAGAGAGGACTGGAGTCAACAGTAAGAAGCTCAAGCATTGCAAGACAAGACAAGAAAAGAATCTACAGACCTGGAGTCAACAGTAAGAAGCTGAAGAACTCCAGGGAGGGAGGAACTATCTATGTGGATGGAGCATGTGACTGTATAGGAATCATGTGATCAGAAGTCATGTGACCAGAATGATGGAATGATGGGAACAGTGATGGAATCAGATATCATCAGTAATAGAATCAGATGGAATCAGATGATCATGTGACCTAATCACCAGAGAGTGATCAAGTCCAAAACCCATCCTCAACAGACAGACCATCAAAGAAGATGAGTGACAAACGACTAGGACCTTACAAAATTCTGGAGAAGGTTGGAGCAGCTGTATGGAAGTTGGATTTGCCAGATACGGACTGGAGACACCTGGTATTCAACAAGTCACTGTTGACACCCTATCACAAACTGCCTCCCCATTGCCGAGAGAAGAGACCCGTGGCAAAGATGATTGGAGGAGCCGAAGAGTGGGAAGTCGAAGAGATCGTGAAAGAGCGAAAAGTCGGCTGAGGGAAACAATACTTGGTCAAATGGAAGGGATGGCCGCACAGTGAGAACACGTGGGAACCATCACGTCATCTTACCCACTCAAAGAAAGTCCTGGCAGCCTGGGAGAAAAAACAATCAAACCCCAACACCCGCATTTGCGCTGTGCCGATACTCCAAGCTGGGCACTGGGACTACCTTATCCATTGCTATAAACCCAAAGACAAGCACCTCCCATATCCCCAACGACAACTCTTTGACCCTTACAACAATGTCTTCATGCCCATTGGCCAAGTCGATGAGGACATTGACCCTAAAGAGGGGGTAACGTCATGATTCGATCGTTTTTCACAATCATTCCATCAATCACTTATCTCTTCATTGACGCGGGATTATCTTATCACGGATCGTGGCACCACACAGTCCGGGCTAAGGGTTCAAGAGGGTTATCTACATAGAGGTCGCGCAGCGTGGGCTTCAGAAGGATACAGCATAACCCATAACCAACGCTCCACACGGTACCTAGTCAGATGACTTGTTTCGATGTAGATAAGACTCAGACTGGACTTGGTGTAAATACAGTAGCTATTGTGTTGTATTCTCCAGTCTTGGAATTGACTTGTATTTTCGATCGTATTTTGTGTTGATTGTCACATGCAGGAGGCGAAGGACAACTTGATTGCCGCTAAGATGTCTCAGGTGACACAGGCGAACAAGTCGCGGGGTGCAGACCACAACATCAAAGTGGGTGATCAAGTGAAGCTTTCCACGAAGAATTGGTGGGCAGCATACATCGGCAAGGGACATAACTGCATGGCAAAATACATGCCCCGTTTTGACGGCCCATACACAGTGGTGGCGAAACACAATGAGTGCTCCACTTTCACGCTTGACATGCCAAACCAGCCCCAGGTATATCCCGTGTTCCATGCTTTGTTGAACACAGAAAACACAGATGGGAGCCGCAGGAGGCTAGGGGCACAGATGGGAGGCGAAAAGCCCAGTCTGTCACATTGATCTAGGGCTATGTACTGATGGTCACATAGCTAAGTAACACTCTTTTGTCTGAACCAAGCAAGACATCCTTTCCATACTTCAACACTCCCACCCTTGGGAAGACAAAAGCAATCAAACAGAACACTCCCACCAAATCCAAGGCCACTCCCACCCAATCTAAGTCCGTCTTGGAGACAGAAATGGCCCACTAGGCCCTCCACCAATCTCCGCTTCATTGGACATCTGGAACTCATCCCACATCTCAAAGAAGCTCTCCCTGGTCAGACCTGCCTCCAGTGCAGCAGAGAAAGCAGCAGAAGCGGAGCTGCTCTTGCCATTAGCCAGGATCCAGTCCTTCACAAAGGTGGGCATGGTGTGCATGCACTTGTGGGCAATGTGGCCAGTGCGTCCACAGCGATGGCAGCCCCTGGTGGTAGGGTCACACCAACGAAAACCTTGGGAATCCAGTGGAAATCCGTCCTGGGCAACGCTGCCAGTGATGGGGGAGGTGTATGATGACGTGGCAGATGCTGTGCCTCGACGTGGCGCCGATGCAGCCAGGGCCAGGCTCGAAATATTGCCATCTTCGATTTTGAGAACCACCCCAGGGTCTGAGCTTGAGCTGGCAAGCTGGGTGATGCAGTCTTCGAGTTTGGGCTCAGGAGAGCGTGCAAGGAGGATGGTGCGGACTGTGTGGAAGGCTGGGTGAAGATTCATGAGCAGGACATCTTTGTGGATAGTGGAATCGATGGAAACACCCATGGCAGCCAGTTTCTTCACTGCATCCCCTACAGCTCGAATGTAGACATCTATATCCTTGGTAGGGTCATGGGAAATGGAGTGCAGCTCTGCCCTAGCAGCCATCCTGGTGCTCATGCTCGATTTTTCGAAGTGGGCCTTGAGGGCAGCCCAGGCAGCAGTGGCAGACTCGAAATCATCCAGGAGGGGCTGGTACTGCTCCTCTATCTTGGTGTAGAGGTAGGGGAGGAGCATTCTGTCCAGAGCAACTTGGTCAGACTCATCTGCTTTTGGCCCTTTCCCCATAACCCAAAGTGCGTCCACTCCCAGCAAAAACACCTTGAATCCCTTCCCAAACTTGGCCCAGTTGTCCTTCCCCAGCATAGGAACAGTGGTGAGAACGATGGTGAGGGCTGAGGTGATAGTAGGCGCCATGGTGGTGCAGGGAGAAGCGGCAGGAGCGTCGGGGAAAACCGGAACAGAGGGGAGAAGCAAAAAGAGCGAAAAAGAGCGAAAAATGCGCAGAGGGAGCAAGGAAAAGGGTAGATGGATAGGTCAGGGCGGGGCCAATAACCTGTTGAACACAGAAAACACAGATGGGAGCCGCAGGAGGCTAGGGGCACAGATGGGAGGCGAAAAGCCCAGTCTGTCACATTGATCTAGGGCTATGTACTGATGGTCACATAGCTAAGTAACACTCTTTTGTCTGAACCAAGCAAGACATCCTTTCCATACTTCAACATGCTTTGGACATCAAACCATACAGGGAAAACAACGACTCATTATTCCCCGGTCGTTCACTGCAGGCTTCCGTGCCTATGGACCGAACAACTATCGAATACATCATAGACAAATGACGCTGTGGCCGTGGGAATCAATACCTGGTGCACTACTTGCACCACGGACCCGAAGATAACCGCTGGTTGCCGCGACGTGACCTGAACGGCTCAGAAGCGCTCACCGCATGGATCGCTGTGAGGGACATGCAGGAAGGATGACTGAACTAGACTGCGCCTTGCCTGCCCCGGTAGCTTTTTTCCCACTGGGTTTTATTTTGACGCACCCACGTGGCAGGCTGTACTTTACTACTCTCTACCTACACGACCTTACATATGGTTTGTTCTTTGGGGAGGGGAGGAGTGCAAGCCTGCTTGCTTACATCTCACTACTTACATCATCTCTCTCTCTCTCTCTCTCTCTCTCTCTCTCTCTCTCTCTCTCATCACCCGATATGTATTGCTCTACAGAATATGTTGATCAAATATCATCTGTCAAGATGGATGTTGTGATACACATCTATGACTCCATCACGTGTCATCTAGAGTCATGTCAACTCATCCTAAATAGACACAAACAGCCCCCTGTATCATATATAAGGAGGGCTCTATTACCCTTTAATACAAGTCCCTTGACTACTCCCGCATAGTGCCCACACTAAGCTCTCAACTCACACAGGTGGGTTGCTAGACGCTCTCCCCAGTGCTCAACAGGTTATGGGCCCCAAGAGCTATGTCTGCGCCTTAGTGGCCACGACATTCATTGTATGCGCTGCCACTGGCTGCAACGATGAGCAGCGTCTTTAGCCTATCTGTCATCACTTCAGCTGCTGCATAGCACTGGTAAAACCATGCCAGATCACGATTACATCACTTGATCCAGATGCATTGATCTCTGAAGAAGATTATGATCTATGAGGATCTGATCATCTTTATCTTTGATTTTATCTATCAGATTAGATTGATGCTGATCACTCACACAGATCTAACATGTCGTCCAACTCCAACAACATCTTCAATGCTGTCTCTATCTTTGATGGAAAGCACTGGCTTGTCTGGTCCGGAACTATGGAGTCCTATCTGGAGCATCAGGGGATCTCATATGTGCTGACTGAAACTGTGCCAACCGAAGTCCTAGCATCTGATGGCTCTGTGTGTTGATGTGTGGATATTTGGTTCGGACAAAGGGTGTGACATTACTCTATGACGCGTAGTATATAGCATCAGATCAATGTGACCTACTGGGCTTTTCGCCTCCCATCTGTGCCCCTAGCCTCCTGCGGCTCCCATCTGAGTTTTCTGTGTTCAACAGGTTATGGGCCCCGCTCTGACCCATCTTTAAACCCTCTTCTTCTCCCCCTGCCCCTCATTGGCCTTCCCCTTGCTGCGCATTTTTCCGATCTTGCCTGATCTCCATTCTGCCACCATCTGCCACCATCTGCCACCCCCAAGACTACCATTTTGACCTCATCCACCACTGCTACACTGTACAACCATGTTGGAGGAAGGGATTGGGATGGATCAGCCAGATCTTGGGTGGAGATGTTGGAGAGGGTGTCAGATTCATTCAGATGAGTTCACAGCTACTACACAGCTGCTGCATACACACATTCCCCTGGAGTGCCCCCTGCTTCACCACTCTCTCTCAGCCACTCTCCCTGCTCCCCACTCCTCTCTCCTCTCCTGATTTCGATGGATTTCGACGAATTTTGCTCTGTGCTGCTGCCTCTTGCACACACCAGCCCCTACCACCCTACCCTGTCTTGTGAAGGCCGAAAATCGCGTTGGATCTCCTTGGATCTGCCTGGATCTTGGTGGATTGGCCAGATCTTGTTGGATCTCCCTGGATCTCTGCTGGATCTCTGCAGATCGACTTG